ATTTCTCAAGCAAGAATTTTGATAGAACTGTCTGGGAGTGGTCTGAGTGGAGGCGAAAACTGAAAACTAGCTGTTATTGGCAGAGGTTTAGAACTCTCTTTCTTATTGGTCTATTAACTAATTTACCGTCTGGTGAGGTCACCAGGCAGGCCAGAACAGCATCCCACCAAAACAGGCAGAAATTTCAAGCGGTCTTTTCAAACAGCTCTTAGACTAAAAGGGGCATTATCATAATTTTCACAATTTCACAGTATTATTCCAACATCAGTGTGGAAATAAATATAAAGCACAGGAACATCATGTTTTGGACTGCACTGGGCCTTTAAAATTAAAGGTAAATGTGAGAAGCGCTATGCTGTCAGTCAAGAATAACTTGTGTGTAACCATCAGTATGAAGACAATTTACATTTGGAGAGCCATCCTTGCCCGAGCCTCCAGACTTGCCATCCAGTATGGGGGAGGCGAAAGGACTTAGGTCCTGCAGACAGAGAAGGCTTTTAGCCAATTTTGACAATAGAAATTGACTATTGATGTTACGTCCAGACAGTGATTGATCGGCCCCAACTGTAATTTTCGGCTTTAGGTTCAATATTTAACACTGGACAATCTGCTTCTGGCAAGACATGTTAAGATTTGAAAGAGGAGAAACATGTTAAACCACTATTGGGGCATGGCATGACCAGGAAATACATTTACCCTACCTTTCCGCATAGGCCTATTGTATAACATCCAAGTTATGCATGTCAATCATCATGTTTCAATGGAGAAAAGGCAATAATTCGTAGCAATAAACCAATGTAATTGCATGGAAAAGCAGATGTGTATACACGTCGAGGCATTTTGTAATCGATGCACTACTCCTGGGAGGGCATGGGAAGGCATGTGATTGCATGGATCTAATGGATGCCATCCATGGAATACCAGTGAGCTGCAGCAACATGAATGCAGCAGCAGCCAGCACCGACAGTAACAATTCACTGTCATTCAAATAACTTGGGGCCTATTTGATCTGCAGATGTTGGGGCATTGTCTTAATATAGAAAATGCAAGCTTAGATAATGCACATAGTATAACTATACGATTATGGTCAGATATTGAAGTAAAACATGTCTGGGGAAACAAAGAAAACCCATAATGATGCTAGCCTGGTTTAACCAGACTGTACACTGTGCTCACTGCTCACCATTGTTTCAGGTTAAACAGGCTGATATGATGCCAATGCGATCAGTGTCTTGGTTCATTTGAGCGGAGAGAACATGATGCAAGGGGAAACCAGAATAATACTCTGAAATCCAATAAAGTCAGGACTTTCTCTCTCTCAGGCTCTTCTCTGTTGCCCCTAGCTACAGTGCAGGCACACACAATTAATCATGACTCAGTGGTTTAGAGCAGACCAGAGACCAGAGCAGTGTGTTTCCAGCTGTTTCCCTAGCTTCCTCTTTCTTCTCACACAAAAACACAACAACATCAGATCCCTTATTGCCCATAAGCCAACTAGACACCTTTTCCATGGAAACGTTGGAAATAATTGTTCTAAACAGTAACTGATTACTTGATTAGCCAGTTATGTTTGTAATATTCCAGTTCATGCAATAATGGAAAATAACAATGCTGGTGCATTTAGGAATTAATAAAGGCCCCAATAGACCTCGGTGGTATTTGGATTGTGTAAATAGACCAGTACAGGATGAGTTTTAAGTCTGCGTATGGGATGGGCTTCAGGTCTTTGACAACGCATTATATGTTGATGGTGGTAGTGATGATGATGGTGATGAATATGATGTAAATGATGATGGCGTATTGCATTTAAATTTAAAAGTGCATAGACATGAACATTTCACCCACAAATCAAGTGAATAGCTGATGTTGAGTCCATGTTTTGAGGACTTGATGCTGGGGGAAAAAACTAGCATCATCTCATGCCTGTCCAAAGGTCAGGGTTGTGCAAAGAACCTGTCAAAAAAGGCCACCTGAACAGTGTTGTTTTTGATTATGATGTAATTACAAAAATAACATGATATTTTAAAAAATAACATGACCTCAAATGTGAGGACTAGACGTTGTGAATTGGAAAACATGCCCATGTGATTGATGTAACAATACGGGCACCCGAACATACTTGAAAGTTACATATTTTGCAACATTATAATACAAACACAGATCTCACTGTCATAATAAACACACACACACTACTCTTTCCACATCAACAAACACCTGTATGTGTCAAACAACATCATTTACGAACTTACTGGCATATTTAGGCGTAGTGTTTCTCTTTTTCTTCGATGTTTTCATATCCTTCTTGTTGGACTCCATCACCGTGCTTCCCATTTTCAGACTAATGACTCTGTTCTCTTTGTTTTTAACGAGGAAGAACGAGCTTGGGTAAATTGCGTGGCATTATACCATAAGTCTTTATCTGAAAACGAAGTTGTAAGTCAACGTTCTTTAGAAGAAAGTAGTTAATTTACCAGGAAGTATAGCCTACCGCACTACCGACGCATTACAGACAACGGGTGTGTTGACATCACGAAGACTGAGCGCGCTGCTTTTCACTAACAGATGTCAGTAAAGCATGGTTTCATTATTGGTTCCTATTTCCTTGACTCCTTCCCTAGGTCATAACTCCTACCCTTTCCATTTCCTCCACATATATAAAACGATTTACAGATAAAGCAGAGCATCACATTTTATTCAAAGGATATGTTGGGGATGGGGACTTTCACTGGCTGACCACTTCAGATCTCCAATCTCAGAAAGGGATAGGAATTAAGCCAAGGGGACAATTATTGAAATGGAACACATACACGTTATTTCTTTCTTACATGCAGTGGGTGGGTTAACGTGAGCAAAACAAGTAGCCTCCAGTTGGATATTTTGCTGCTATCGTTTGAACAGCAAGGCAGATCTCATAGCCATTCTTTCTCTTAGTCTATCTGGTGAATGCCTTGTTTGCCTTCAATTACACGTTTTTGCTCTCTCCAACAGCTCGTGTCAGTTCGTTTAAACATTAACCTAATTAATGGCAGGCCATACTTTTATAGATTATATTTTTATCAGTTGTCTTCAGTTGGTAAATAATATATTATGAATTTAATATTAACAAAATGTGTATGGTGATGAAAGTAGTGGAGATGCAGTTGCCATATTTGGCCAGTGGGTGTCTTCTTGAGGAGTAAAATACATTACTCAAGCCTAGTCTATTCCAAGGGGGTCAGTCCTATGGGTCAGGCAGATGTGTGCGATTTCTGAAGGCACACACAATATAATTAAGATGTAAAATAGTTTATTTTGTAAATGTTTCTAAATTCAATTCCAAACCTCATATTTCTCTGTACACTTCAAAAGGCATTAAAAAAAACACATTGAGACTACAGGACCAAGAAAAAGTTACCACAAACACACTGGTAGGAGGATGTCATTTTATACAAGAGAAGAAAAATATCCAAGAAACAATTTTGTTACAACCATTCATTGAGAAAATATATACAATTGAGTCTTCGGAAAGTTAAAAAAATACATGCCATTTACATTACAAGTTCTAAGACGGTCTCCAATATTTTACAGTCGACTTGAAATTGTGCTCGCAAAACATTTTCTAACTACTGTATGTGGCTTGTGATGTGTCAATATCACATACATTTCTGATTAAGTAGAATGTCATCTCTTTTCAAAATGTAGCACCACCAAATGTCCCGACCTTTTCCTCCGCAAGAAACATGATTTAATTTTTTCAGTACACTTTAATTTCAAAAGCCTGAAGCAGTAAGCAATGTCATACGACGTCTGTACACAATTTCTATGTAAAAAACAAAACAGAAAAAACAAGGTTATATTCCTACACATATTTGGGTTAAAAAGAAGTTAAAATTGTGTTTGGGTGGTTTAAAACCTTTTTCACAGCTCTATAAAATCAAACCTGATTAACAGCAAAGATGTCAGGATGTCTTTACCATTTTTTAATTCTTTAACCAATAGCTCATTTCCACACTCAGTCACCAAAAATATTTATTTTTGAGTGGTCAAAGTACGTGTAAATCACAAAAACACTAAGCTACAATACCATACTTTTAATACAACAAAAATACTTTGTGAATTATTGTGGTTATTTTACAAATTCTGTACAGAATAATCATAATATATACTCTGAAACTGATATCATGACATCCTTCTTAAATAAACTGCAATGACAAAAAATAAAATAATAATATAATTAAAAAACACCCAAACATCAAGAAGGTTAAGGTAGTATTTGGTCGGTTATTCCTATATTTTTCTTTATATACATTTGTACAAAAGTAACAGAATTTCTTCAATCTTCAGAAAACAATATCAGTTTAGCCTTCTTTTACTGTCATCATTTTGAGAATAAAATTAATTAATTCAATAATAAATACAAAACGTCCTCTCGAATTTCACTCAAATCACATGACAGAAACCTATGATAAAACTGACTCATGGAATCAAGTATCTTAAAGTTTGTGTGTACGTGTGTCTTTTTTTTTTAGTGCAAGTTAATATTCCCTTCACGGTAGTCATTGCTGTACATTCCCCATTCAGTGATGTCTACATTTAGTCAAATGGTTTTACATTTAAAGTTTTAAACAAAAGGGCCTGCCCTTAACAACCAATAGGGTCCGCGCCCTGCACAGTGCTCTCTCCTCATTCGCTGGTGGATTCTCATCTGCGCCCTACTGTATATCATCTCACTAATACACAGACGCCACACTCATTGACAGAGGCCTTCCAATAAAACCCAGCCTCTCGCATAATATGGCACGAATCACGTCCATCTGCTGTTGCTTCTTCCTGTCCATCTTCAGTCTATGCTTCCAAACATGGGACTCCATTCACGCGTCGCTCTTAGGGTTTACTCAGGCCTTCGGCTCGTTCTAAAAAAGTCTGAAGCACCTCTCTCTTTCTACACAGAGATCAGGGCATCTGCATAATATGGCAAGGAATGCATTTGTGTTTGTTGTTGTCATTTTAGGTTTTTCTCAGTTGATCCATTTCCTGCAGTCTGCTGTTCCACAGTGACAGGCGATCTTGTGTTGGCCGTCCACACAGTCATACTGGTAGTCAAAACAAAGCTGGAAAATAACGGGGAAAAACAGTGATGACAATGAAAACGCCATTCATAGCATATGTAGATATTTTCAATTGAAAGGAAAAAGAACCCACCTCCTCTCCTTTCTCGATTCTGCGGTTGGAGGTGATGATAATTTTATAACCTCTTTCGAAGGTTACCACCTCTGCGACACAGTTCGGGGTACAAGAGTGGTTGATGTACCTGTATAAGAAAACAAACACATAGCATTGCACATTATGACGGAATTTGTAATTACATTTTTGAATGAGAGGTTCATTGTGCATACTGTGTAATCAGACTGGAGGCTACATACGGAGCCCTGTAAATGAATTATAGCACCACCATCCTGACATTGAGCGACAAATAAATCAGTTAAGATTAGAATGTGAATCAGTTGGAATGTGACTATGTAAACAATACAACAAAGCCCTATGATCCTGTCCAGGGGGAGTACTTCTACATCAAGCTGCCTCATGCTTCAGAAACAGGAGATGGGCTCCTGCTCCTACGAGCTGTTCCGGCTTAGTAAGGCTACTTACTTTTACTTGACCTATGTAAACAATATGCTTACCTTGCTAGACCCCCTGTCTGACTGGAATCAACAACATGTTCACTGTCGATGCGGAACATGAACACTCCACGATTCTGTGGGGGAAAAGTAACCACTTAGACCAACTGGAATCATTACATGAGAGAATACAGCAAACATGTATTATTCAGCCTTCGCTCTCCACAACACAGTAATTAGTAGAGCCTTGAGTAAAAAAAAAAAGAAGATTTGCACCTGAGACTTGTAAGTCCTTTGCTTCCTGATGGCCACCTCGTTGCGGAGGACGGTTCCGTTGTACTCGATCACCATGGTGTGTTTCTCTATGTCCCTGGATGCATACAGACCCAGGCCCTGTGGACACAGCAATCAGAAAGTTTGTCTACGTCTAACAGTAAGTCCTCTTACTCTCATGCTGTCATACTTCAGTGTCATATTCACTCTGCTACTTTAGAAGGGGAATGCTACAGAGTTGAACATAGAAGATCATGCCCAGTAGACCCACCTGGATCTTGGAGGCAGCGAGGTAGACGTTGGCCCTCCACTCACTCTTCATCCAGCGGTACTGAGAGGACCTGTGGTGCACCGTGGGTGGCTTGGTGTGGGGTACACCTCCCTCCCCCTGGGCTGTGTTCTGACACCTGGAGGAGGTATTGGTGGTGCTGGATACTGGCTGGCGCCTAGGAGTGTGTGTGTGTGGAGGAGGGCATAGTACAATTAACAAAACAAGTACAAAACAAAGCCTACATATTGTTATAGAAAATAACTTGTGATAAACCAAAGTACATTAAATCCACAGACTTAAATCAATGTAAATTCATCCACAATACCTTATGACAACGGCGGTGGATGGGGAGCTGGTTTTAGGCATGGCGCGGGCACTGCCGGAGGGGTTAAAGATCAGGGGCAGCTCCATCAGAGGGTTACGGCCGTAACGGAAGGTGTACCTGTCACAGGCCTCTACCCCTGGGAGCTGGAACACAAGCAACAGCACAGGGAAATGAGACTGGAACGCTCCTCCTCACTTCAGTGTCTACAATACAGTATGGTATGGGTATTTTAAGAGTCGTTCATCTGAATAGGCAGCTACAGACATCTATAGCGTAATTTGAACATTGATAATTTATTATAAATGTTTTAATATAATACAACTAAAAACAGATACAAACCGATTCAGTGATCTTGGTGACTGCAGATACAGTGAGCCCAAACAGGTCCTCTCCTTTCAGATAGACAGGGAAGAGTTTCAGAGTTCCTATTTCAGTCCTCCTGTCAGCCACCGGTCCCAGGACCTTATCCCACACTCCTGATAGACAGGAAACAGCAGGGGTTATATATTATAGGGACGCCTACAGAAAACATTTACTGTAGTAAAAGAGAATCTGAAAGGCAAAATTATCTAGAAACAAGCCTAGTCTAAGCTAACCCAGATACATAAACAGCAGAGGCTACAGCCATAACAGGGCTAACTAAGCATGTCATAAAACCAATCTAGCTAGCCCACCTTTACTAGACAAGCCTAATCTAAAGCCTGGCCTAAGACAAATCTATCCCAGCCCACCTTTGGCAGTGGAGTCAGTGAGGATCAGGTCCTTGTGTCCCTGCTCGATGACGCGGATGCTGAACTCCGGCTGCTCCTCCCTCTCCTCCACGGAGCACAGGTAGCGGCAGCGGCGGTTGCCGTGGCGCATGCTCCAGTAGATGCGGCAGGCCTCGTAGCCCACGGGGAAGATGGCTGTGGCAGAGTGGAAGGCGGCCATCTGGGACGGGGTGAGCTGACCAACGGTATGGAGCACCAGGCTGCCCACTCTGAAGGTGTAGCCCAGCTCGGGCTGCTGCACGGCGCTGGCCATCTGCCTCACCTCGTCCCTCTGTATGTAGACGCGGCGGAACACAGCGAAGCAGCGCAGCTCGTGCTCCAGGACGTGGCCAGAGCTACCGTGGGCGGAGCCTGAGCCTCTGGGGCGGTGGGCATGGCAAAGCATGGTCTTGTCCTTGAAGAAGGTGCAGTGTGCCTGCAGGGCGCAGGTGAAGTGGTAGACGTTGGTGCAGCGCAGGCGGTGGCAGCCGCTGGTGGCGCCCATCTGCTGGCAGAAGGCACAGCGGACCGCCGAACCCCGCCTCAGCGCCAGCTCCACATTGATCAGAGCGCCTGACTGCGTCTCATACACCTATACAACAATACAATATTTATAATAGATATACAACACAATATAACTTTAATAAAAGAAGGGGCACGATTGTAGTGAATGGTAGTAATGATCTAAAACCAGCAGTCCACCTCTCTAACCTCTGGGCTACCTACCTCGGTGGACCACAGGGCACAGTTGAGGTGCACCCACACGTCCAGGTCCAGGCTGAGGAGGCGGGCAGGGCCGTCGGTGACCCCGTCCCCCAGCTGGTGACAGAAGCAGCAGCGGCGCTGGTCCCTGAGGCTGGCCCCGGGGCGGAGAGACGCTCCCAGCTTCCTCAGCAGCTCGTCTATCTGGTCCTCGTCAGGGAGCTGGGAGCTTCCTCTAGGCACTACCACCTGCACTGTCCACTTCCTCCAGCGGAGACCCTTGTGTCTCTTCCCCTGGTGCCAGCCCTCCTGGTGAGCCCTGGGGCCCCGCGCCTTCAGCTTTACCGTCACTTTGATGGTGTCTGACTTGGCCTCTGTCTTAGGGGTCTTAGTGGTGTCACTGGCTGGGGGGAAGGGGATGGGTGGGGTGGAGGGAGGGGACTGCTTGAGCTGGAGCTGGGCCAGACAGTGGACATCCAGAGAGGATATGTTGTTGCTGTACTGGTGTTGTGTTTTAGACAGGCTCTCTTTCTGGTCCGAGTCTGGAGACAGGAGGGCCACCGTGTCCTGCAGAAGACAATAATGTAATGATGACCTGCACATTTCAATTAATTAATTAATTAATTCATTCATTCATTCATTCTAGGTACAGCTTTGAAGAGGCAAGAAGAGGATTCAACACAGCTTTGACTTGACATATTATGCACTCTTCAACACCTTTAGGTGCCTTTGATTCTTGTGCACACCAAAGTGCCTCATGTATTTGAATTGTTAGGTATTGATAGGACATTATTAGTAGGACAAACCTTAGAGTCTGTAGTGGTTCTGGCCTGCGAGGAGGAGGAAGATGAGGAGGAGGAAGCAGAGTAGAGGAGGAAGCAGCTGTGGCTGCAGAAGACCAAGTTCCTCTCAGAACGCAACGATCCTTCTTGTTCCTGAAGAAGAGGAGGGAAGCCAGGCATGTCAGGAGATGTAGCGAGGGAGATGGAGAGAAGCACTTCTCCTTAAGCTCAATGAGCTATCAAAGGCCAAAATTGATGCTCATACAGAAACCTTTATCAATGCTAAAAGGGGTTATTCAATAATCAAACAGCTCCAATATTCAGATGAATCAGGGTCCTTTGTAGCTCAATTGGTAGAGCATGGCGCTTGTAACGCCAGGGTAGTGGGTTCGATCCCCGGGACCACCCATACGTAAAAATGTATGCACGCATGACTGTAAGTCGCTTTGGATAAAAGCGTCTGCTAAATGGCATATTATATTTAACCATTTGTGAACTCCCCAGACTAGTCTGAGGGCATGCTACCGATATGGATTTCACTCCAATGGGGGGATTAGCATAACTAGAGGCTCTACAGTACATGTGTGTACGGACATGCACGGATGTGTGTGTATGTCTGTGTCTGTGTGCATGCACTTTTGTGTGTGTAGCATGTGTGTGTGTCTGTGCGCGCGCACACCCCCAATCCTGTGAGGTCTGAGCGACTGATGGAGAGAAGGGCTTTTACTGGGTTGGTTGGTTGGCCAAGCAGATAGTCAATCAATCCATATAGATCATGGCTTGGTTGGGCAAGATCACAACAAGGTAATTGATCAATCAGTGTTGACAGAACATGTGGACCATTAGATAGATATAGACACGACTATCTAACGTGGACCGCAAGATCGAAATATCAATGTATCGCTCAGTGTTGACCAATAGATAACAGTCTTTGTAATGTATGAGGTCAGCCTGATGAACACGTAGTAATTGACTACATGAAAGCTCTGGCGGTACGTTACCTGTTTGTGTACTGGAAGGTCTTTGATGGACTTGCGGACTCCATTTCCCAGCACCACCACCTTACAGTGGCAGCACCACTGGGGCTTGGCGCCTGGGCTGCCGGCGGTCTTCTGATGGGTGCCTCTGACTGCAGCTGAACCTGAAACACATAGACCGCTCTCTGTGACACAGCTCCTCCAACTATGTTAGATGCATAACAGGCCAGTGCAGTACTGCTGCTAGGTTTATTACTTCAAATAAATGAGTGGCGCTCTGCTGCTGTCTTGTTTTGGACCAAATAACCATTTAAAAACGGCTGATTTTTAGGCAGCAGAGCGCCACTCATTTATTTGAAGTAATAAACCTAGCAGCTCTTGTCCCACTCTGGAACTTCAATATGTCCGTAGAGTATATTATGTTGAACAATATATTGACAAATTAGCCAAATCAAAAATTGTATATTTTCAATATTAATGTTTATATTTTTTAATATTCATAAATGTATGTAAGAAATGTGTTACTGAAATCAAAATACTACTCATATCACAGAGGAAGCGGTAAAGCTTTATATGACACCAACTTTTGTTTTGTAGCACGTACATATTAAACATTATGTCACAATTATTCTAACTTCAATTAATAATTTATGCTTTAAGATTATGCTTTAAAATCCAAATGTCAAATATATGTCAACAATCCTTCCTCCTAAGGACCCTTCTATGGATTAGATTGAGTGAAGATCCCCCAAAATCAGGGTCTTTTTTTTGTTCTAGTTTCGTGAGGTATCACTCATACTTTATGACCTTAGATGGCCATGATGCAATTGTCTTAGATCAACCGCACAATTGGTTTGAAGATAAACACCTCCTTGTTATAAGATCCCACGACAATTAACAATAGATAATTGAGAGGAATATCCTATACCTTTACCCCACTGATGAGGTGTCCACTTGATCATTTATCTGGCTGTTTTTGATCTACGGGTCCAGGCTAACTGACCACATTCATTAGGCCTGTGGTCTGACACTGACAGCAGCGCTAAGCAGGTGTGTGTGTGTGGGGGTGTGTGTACCAGTGCGATCGTGCCCAGGAAGGATGATTACTCAGTTTCATTAGTTGTGTGTATCGTTGTGTGAGATCAATACGTATGCCCATCATTACCTGGTGGGCCAGACACACATAGCCTTTAGACCCCTTACAGAAGGATAATGATTCACTGGGCGAAGAAACTGCCCATTTGTAAACATCGTTAAAAGGGGCTAATTATTTAAATGGCCAACGAGGGGGGAAAGAATGACGAGGAGGATTGTAAATGTTTCTTGTCGGCCGGATCATATTGTTGTGCATGTTTTAAATCGTATGTTGTATTGATTGCTGCTGCCTTCTTGGCTAGGTCTCCCTTGCAAAAGAGACTGTCTCAATGAGCTTTTCCTGGTTAAATAAAGGTATAATATAACTAACAAAACAAACTGGTCTGGATGGACATGAATTTCAGCAGTGTTTCAGTTCAAGATGAGCACACAAGAGCAGCAACATCTCCCCTGTTATGTCTGTATTTGGACATAAGGGGGCGATAAGGTGCAGGGATGTAGCCCAGTCTCTCACCTGGTCCGTCAGGATGGAAGCGGATGTGCTGCTGTGGATGTCCCAGCTGCTGTTGCATCATCATTCTCTGTTGTGGTCCTCCTCCCCCGGGCCTGATGAGCTGGCCTGGGTCTCCATGAGGGTGAGGGCCCCCGATGTCCACAGCACCACCACGGCCCGGGTACATCATGGGGGCCCCAGGCCGGTGCTCCAGGCCTCCCTGGGGACCCACCCTCAGGCCGCTGAGCATGGCCAGGGGCCCCCTGTCTGGGCCCGGGGTGCTGCTGACCTCATAGCTGCTGGGGATCTTCACACACAGCAGTTCTGAGATGGCTGCTACCACACCTGTGATGTTCTGAGAACAAAAACACAACATGAAAATTAATGTTGCGGCTATTGCCAATCAAGCCACCGGCACATGTACAGTAGACAGAGAGCAAAGAATTGGCTTCAGCTCCTACAATTATGCCTGGTGATGTTTTAATCCTCACATATTTGACCAGTAGTGAAATGACTGAGGTGCATTTTTTATGAGAAAAAGGGGAATGAACTACCAACAATAACCAACAAACATGAAAAGAAAAGGATCTAGACCATTTCCTCCATGCTGATTTTCTATGAAAGCTGGAGGAAGTGAAGCCAACAGAACAGAAATACTCACCTCAGCAGCCGCTGGTCTCAGGGTGATGGCTACAGACAGCAGGCCTGGCTTAGTGTCGTTAGACAGCGGGCCAAAATGGGAGCCGAAGAACATCCCAGAGGGCTCCGTCTTGAGCTCAGTCTTCAGCCTAACCTCTGATCCTACAGGAAGACCAATAGAGGCATTCGGAATAATGTTTTAAAGGATGTTTCATTAATACTTACTGCTTTCATTGATACTGTAAAGCAGTTTGTGACAGCTGTTGATGTAAAAGGGCTTTATAAATATAATTTGATTGATGATGGAGTGCTGATAATAGTGAGAAAGGCACATCTCTTTTTACAGTTGATCATTTATTACCAGTTTAAACAAATTACCAAGGCCATATTCATTTATGGTAACACATTATTTTAACGGTCCGTAGGAAACCATTTATTAATCATTACCCCCACATTTATAAACCATTTACATATCATAAAGTATTTTCACAGTCCCTAATCTAAAGTGAGCAGTATTGAACCCTAATCCTTACCTAATCCTAAATGGTGTGCAATCTTTTTGTAAATGCCTTATAAATGGTTTATTATGAACTGTTAAAATAAAGTATAACTTTAATTATTTACCTTTCCCCCAGGGTGTGGGGAGCATGGGGAGGATGGGGGAGAGGGGCTCCTCCTTCACCAATGACAGGTCTGGGTAGCGGCTGATCTCCATGCCAACCACACTTTCTGGGGACGAGGAGGGGACAAAACTATCTGGTGTGTCCCGGTCCTTACAATGCTCCTGTCCCAGCCTGTTACTGTGACAGAGAGGGAGGGGGTTGAGAGAAACATTAGTTAACATCAGCATGTATCAAAACAATATTGTTGGTCAACCTATTTTTCAAAAAATATACACTGCTCAAAAAAATAAAGGGAACACTTAAACAACACAATGTAACTCCAAGTCAATCACACTTCTGTGAAATCAAACTGTCCACTTAGGAAGCAACACTGATTGACAATACATTTCACATGCTGTTGTGCAAATGGAATAGACAACAGGTGGAAATTATAGGCAATTAGCAAGACACCCCCAATAAAGGAGTGGTTTTGCAGGTGGTGACCACAGACCACTTCTCAGTTCCTATGCTTCCTGGCTGATGTCTTGGTCACTTTTGAATGCTGGCGGTGCTTTCACTCTAGTGGTAGCATGAGACGGAGTCTACAACCCACACAAGTGGCTCAGGTAGTGCAGCTCATCCAGGATGGCACATCAATGCGAGCTGTGGCAAGAAGGTTTGCTGTGTCTGTCAGCGTAGTGTCCAGAGCATGGAGGCGCTACCAGGAGACAGGCCAGTACATCAGGAGACGTGGAGGAGGCCGTAGGAGGGCAACAACCCAACAGCAGGACTGCTACCTCTGCCTTTGTGCAAGGAGGAGCACTGCCAGAGCCCTGCAAAATGACCTCCAGCAGGCCACAAATGTGCATGTGTCTGCTCAAACGGTCAGGCCTGTGCTCGCCAGAGGTAGCCTGACTGCCATTAGGTACCGAGATGAGATCCTCAGACCCCTTGTGAGACCATATGCTGGTGCGGTTGGCCCTGGGTTCCTCCTAATGCAAGACAATGCTAGACCTCATGTGGCTGGAGTGTGTCAGCAGTTCCTGCAAGAGGAAGGCATTGATGCTATGGACTGGCCCGCCCGTTCCCCAGACCTGAATCCAATAGAGCACATCTGGGACATCATGTCTCGCTCCATCCACCAACGCCACGCTGCACCAGACTGTCCAGGAGTTGGCGGATGCTTTAGTCCAGGTCTGGGAGGAGATCCCTCAGGAGACCATCCGGCACCTCATCAGGAGCATGCCTAGACGTTGTAGGGAGGTCATACAGGCACGTGGAGGCCACACACACTACTGAGCCTAATTTTGACTTGTTTTAAGGACATTACATCAAAGTTGGATCAGCCTGTAGTGTGGTTTTCCACTTTAATTTTGAGGGTGACTCCAAATCCAGACCTCCATGGGTTGATACATTTGATTTCCATTGATCATTTTTGTGCGATTTTGTTGTCAGCACATGGAGAAAAGAAAGAAAGAAAAAAGTATTTAATAAGATTATTTCATTCATTCAGATCTAGGATGTGTTATTTTAGTGTTCCCTTTATTTTTTTGAGCAGTGTATAATTGCATATCACAGGCTTCCCTAAACTGAGAACATTGTGTAGAGATTGTTTTGGAGTCTGTGAAAGATTGTATGGTATATCTACAGCCTAGTCTGAGTACACAGACAGAGGAACATGCCTGTTTTTAGACAAATAGCCTATTTCCACAAAAATATAATTGCATTCAAAACTGTAAATTGTCTAGATCAGGCTTCCCAAAGCTAAGAACATTGTGTAGAAATTGTTGTGGAGTCTGAAAGCTTGTATCATATAATGTGAGTCCCAAAAGTATTGGGACAGTGGATGCTACCATGATTACGGATAATCCTGAATGAATCGTGAATAATGAGTGATAAAATTTGAGGTTAGCATGTCTTGGGGGTATGATATTTGTGAGGCTAACTTTCTCACTCATCATTATTCACGATTCATTCAGGACTATTCGTAATCATGGTAGCATCCACAACATTAATGTAGAAGTGTTTAGAAACATATTCTCTCCTTATTTACAATAAAAGTGACTCCAAAATGTCACAATACATTATTTACCGTTCATTTCTATTAGCCACAAAATAATCTGAAACACAACCAAAACAAACAGAAAATGCATCCAACAAATTTTGGAGAGTCACAAGCTTGATGTAATAATTGCGTGCTAGAAATATGGGACTGCTAGGAATATACACTTTAACCTCATAGCCATTGTATCATTTCAAATCCAAAGTGCTGGAGTAGAGCCAAAACAACAACAAAAATGTCACTGTCCCAATACTTTTGGAGCTCACTGTACATGTATCTACAGCCTAGTCTGAGTACCCAGATCAAGAAGAATGCATGTTTTTAGACAAATATTAGTATTCAAAGTGTCCACTGCAGTGTCTATAAAGTGCAATTCAAATTAATCTTAATTGTCCCAGTAGGGAAAATCATTGTGCGGCCAAGTATTTACAGAATACACCGTAATCACAATGACAGGTTTAGAAGGTAATATGGCATCTTTAAGATGTAAAGAGTAAGCAAAGACATCAATTCTAATTTGGATAGAAAAATTCTGGTAACTTGGTAGGAGGATTCCGGATTTTCTGCTAATTCCCTCTTGATTCCGGGAATCTTGTAGCCGGGATTTCAGGAAAACCTGGGAATTTTGGGGAAATTACTGGAATTTGCAACCATACTCCTAATTGCCCTGTTATGGGAGCAGAGGCCTTACTTACCTGAGTTCCTCCTGGTTGTTGTGAGGGGGTGTGGGGAGGGAGGCTGGCACGTCCACAGTTTTAGGTCCCTGAGCGATGGCTCGGGCCAGCAGGTCCTCCTCGGTCCTGAATGGGACATGGAGCGGCTTGGGGACCAGACCTTTGGATACTACATAGAAGAGGAACATTAAGATTGGTCCTAACAGAATGACACTACAATTGGAAATTGTTGCAAAAACTTTCAAGTCCATTTTCTCAATAGGGGTTTCGCAAGGTTATGAACTTTCAAAATAGCGTAACCTTCTCAACACATTTCAGAATGCTGTGTATGATACATTATTTTGAAGTTAAAAAAACTACTTCAGAGATTCAGCAAGCTGGAACCTAATCTACCAATAACCCCTGGTCACCCGTGACCTCTGAACCCTCCCCAGTGCTCACCCATGGCAGCATCTTTGCTGGCCAGCTCCTCTGTCGTGGCAAAGCCGTTGATCATCTTCTGACGGTTTACAGGTGGAGGAGTCGGAGGGAGTGAAGCCGGCGGGGTGGGAGGGTTGCTCAGATTGTTCTGCTTTGAAGAAACAAGCCAAGGAATACATGTCACCATACTACAAAAGGGGATATAATTTATAATATTATATCATAGCAGTCTCTTGCTACCACAAGTCACTGCTTCAAAGGCATCATTCAACTTCATCTTAATTAAAGTGTCTTGTGCCTGGGGCTGGTCTAGTGGGTAGTGCCAGCACCTTCTGCGCATACAGTATGCAGTACATGTTTGCGTGGGATCCCTCCATCTCTCCCTAGCTCATTCAAAGTCTGTCTCTTAAAAAAAAAAGAAAACGAGATGAGCAGGATTTTAAAATAACAAAATAAACTCTGGTTGGAGGTGAGTCCTTACCTTGTAGGCGAGCTGGGAGTAGTAGTCGGAGACACCTTCCAGAGAGGCGCTGCCGAATGTCCCAGACAGGAGGTTCTCACCGTTGAGCTGGCCGCTGCCGTAGGGGGCAAAGTGGGCAAAGTTCACCCCTATCAGGGGCTCCATGAGGGGCAGAAGGGACAGCTGCTGTAGGACGAGAGAGAGGAAGGGAGATGGAGAGAAACAGAGGAGGTTACGCATATTTATTTATTTATTTAATATTTTAACAGAGAATGTGACAACATTCTTATTTACAGTAATGACCTAGGGAAGCGTTCCAGCCAGGGGAGAGGAAAGGAGAAGGGTTGAATGCACTAATGAAGAAGTTTACTCGCAGGAGATATGGGGTGAGGTTGTGTACCTCTAAGCGGGGATGTAAGCTTGGCTTCTTCTTTATATGTGTCGAGTAAAGCTTAAACCATGCATTTAGATTGTAGGTAGTTTATCCAGGTAGTTATTGTAGGTACGTTTTGTAGTGTATGCGACTGAGCCCGGTGAAGCACGAGGCTAGCTAGCTAACCCACTACCTGGACCATTAAAGCTAGCTAGCTAGCGGGTAGCAACACCGCAGCCACTGCTAGCTGGCCAACTATATCAGCTAGCAGTACTGTAGCAACTAAATACATTTCAACGGAACGATTTGATTAGTGTAAAGTTAGCTAGCTACATAGTTGTCTTGGTATCAAAGACAAAGGTGTAGTATAGAGAAACTATCGAGGTTAGCTAGCCAGCTACATTATCAAACAGTCAACACCGCAGCCACTGCTAGCTAGCCAACATTACCAGCTAGCAGTACTGTATCATTTTAGTCAATGAGAATTTTGCAACGTAAGCTTCACTTTCTGATCATTCGAGATGTGTAGTCCACTTGTGTAGCTAGCATGACTGACTTTGTGCTAGCTAGCCAACGTTTAATCTTCTGCATTATGAAAGGAACTAGACACGGACATGAATGATCCATTGGTAGTTTGTTGTAACCAAGTATTGGTGCTAAACGGTGTGTTATTGGATGCTAGCATGCTAGTTAGCTATGGCGTCATAGGATACAGTACGGTGCCCTGGGCGGTTTTCACAGAAGAATACTGTACCAAGTTAGCTAGCTGAATAAACTAAGTTAGTCTATTCCTGGAAACATTGAACTACTGTAGATTACAGCAATTATAATTTCTAAAGTGGAAGTTGGAAGAGTTGTATTTGAGTGTTTCAGTGAAAGGTTAGTGAGGGAGTCCTCGTTTCCCCAGATGTTTAGTTAATTTAATTCCGATCTCCTTTGCATTAGTGTAGCCTTTTCTGTAGCCTGTCAACTATGTGTCTGTTTCTCCCCTGACCCATCTGTCTATCTCCTCATTTGAATTCCATGCTGTACAGTCACTAGCCCATTCAAGCTTAACATCCTTATCATTTATCGCCCTCCAGGTTCCCTTGGAGAGTTCATCAATGAGCTTGACGCCTTGATAAGTTCCTTTCCTGAGGATGGCTCACCCCTCACAGTTCTGGGTGACTTTAACCTCCCTACGTGTACCTTTGACTCATTTCTCTCTGCCTCCTTCTTTCCACTCCTCTCCTCTTTTCTTTTGACCTCACCCTCTCACTGTCTCCCCCTACTCACAAGGCAGGCAATACGCTTGACCTCATCTTTACTAGATGCTGTTCTTCTACTAATCTCACTGCAACTCCCCTCCAAGTCTCCGACCACTACTTTGTATCCTTTTATCTCACGCTCTCCTCCAACACTACTCACTCTGCCCCTACTCAGATGGTAATGCGCCGTCGCGACCTTCGCTCTCTCTCTCCCGCTACTCTCTCCTCTTCCATCCTATCATCTCTTCCCTCTGCTCAATCCTTCTCCCTCCAATCTCCTGATTCTGCCGCCTCAACCCTCCTCTCCTCCCTTTCTGCATCTTTTGACTCTCTATGTCCCCTATCCTCCCGGCCGGCTCGGTCCTCCACTCCTGCTCCGTGGCTTGACGACTCATTGCGAGCTCACAAGAACAGGGCTCCGGGCAGCCGAGCGGAAATGGAGGAAAACTAGACTCCCTGCCGACCTGTCATCTTTTCACTCCCTCCTCTATACATTTTCTTCCTCTGTTTCTGCTGCTAAAGCCACTTTCTACCACTCTAAATTTCAAGCCTCTGCCTCTAACCCTAGGAAGCTCTTTGCCACCTTCTCCTCCCTGCTGAATCCTCCTCCTCCTCCCCCTCCCTCTCTGTGGAGGACTTCGTCAACCATTTTGAAAAGAAGGTTGACGACATCCGATCCTCATTTATTAAGTCAAATGACACCGCTGGTCCTGCTCACACTGCCCTACCCTATGCTTTGACTTCTTTCTCCCCTCTCTCTCCAGATGAAATCTTGCGACTTGTGACGGCCGGCCGCCCAACAACCTGCCCGCTTGACCCTTTCCCCTCACCTCACCTCGCTCATCAACTCATCCTTGACCACTGGCTATGTCCCTTCCGTCTTCAAGAGAGCGAGAGTTGCACCCCTTCTCAAAAAACCTACACTCGATCCCTCCGATGTCAACAACTACAGACCAGTATCCCTTCTTTCTTTTCTCTCCAAAACTCTTGAGCGTGCCGTCTTTAGCCAACTCTTGCTCTCTATCAGAATGACCTTCTTGATCCAAACCAGTCAGGTTTCAAGACTGGTCATTAAACAGACTGCTCTTCTCTGTGTCACGGAGGCTCTCCGCACTGCTAAAGCTAACTCTCTCTCCTCTGCTCTCATCCTTCTAGACCTATCTGCTGCCTTTGATACTGTGAACCATCAGATCCTCCTCTCCACCCTCTCCGAGTTGGGCATCTCCGGCGCGGCTCACTCTTGGATTGTGTCCTACCTGACAGGTCGCTCCTACCAGGTGGCGTGGCGAGAATCTGTCTCCGCACCACGTGCTCTCACCACTGGTGTCCCCCAGGGCTCAGTTCTAGGCCCTCTCCTATTCTCTCTATACACCAAGTCACTTGGCTCTGTCATATCCTCACATGGTCTCTCCTATCATTGCTATGCAGACGACACACAATTAATCTTCTCCTTTCCCCCTTCTGATAACCAGGTGGCGAATCACATCTCTGCATGTCTGGCAGACATATCAGTGTGGATGTCGGATCACCACCTCAAGCTGAACCTCGGCAAGACGGAGCTGCTCTTCCTCCCGGGGAAGGACTGCCCGCTCCATGATCTCGCCATCATGGTTGACAACTCCGTTGTGTCCTCCTCCCAGAGTGCAAAGAACCTTGGCGTGACCCTGGACAACACCCTGTCGTTCTCCGCTAACATCAAAGCGGTGACCCGATTTCTGTAGGTTCATGCTCTACAACATTCGCAGAGTACGACCCTACCTTACACACTAGTAATGCCTGGGTGTATAACTGTCATAAACCTAGCAGCATCATTTGCTAGTCCATAATCACAGCAGTAATGTGGCTATGATGCATGTAATGGTATCAGCATACACACACCAAGGGCACCGTCCTAGGATAATCCTATCTGTAATTAGCTAGCTCTGTGGTCGATGCATCACAGCGATGTTAAAGACAGCGCTGTGGAAGGAAATACATCTCTGAAGGGATAATTTAGCTCCCCTTAATGTGAGATGAGTAAATGTAACATGCTGAATGTGGCCTACTGATGTAAGAAGAAGTCTACTCTCTGAAGTGTGTGTAGAGCATTAACAGCTTTCATTTTAAAATTTCATCATTGGCTTTTTGTCTGTGGTGGACTGCACAGTCCCTAGTGTTATGTTTAGGTCTACTCCCTACCTGTTTGAGCTGGGTCATTAGTGTATCAGTGCTGGAGTGCACCAGTTGCTTCTCCTCCCCTTCTTTCTTCCTCTTCTTGTAGCGAGAGGTAGGCCTCTCCCCTCCTTTGGGGTTCCTCTTGTTCCTGCCTTTCTTCTTCTCCTGTCCTGTGAGCAGCGGTCCTGGGAACTCTGGGAGGCCACAGAGCTGTCCGTCTGAATACGCCTGGGTGAAGGTAGAAGATTACTTTGTCAATTGTCATAGAGACACTGGTAAGCAGTGTCTCTCTTATCGCCAATCACAAAAAATACAGAATTATGTATATTTAAAAAAACATGACATTGGGTATTTCCACCAACACCACCATTATTTTTTTGCAGGAGAAGATCTGTGAGACCATTTCATGAATCATGACTCAGCCTAAAATACTGCCTCCTACTATGACTCACAGCAGTTTGTCACAGGCAGCAACCCATCGGACTGATTCACTGAACCAGACTCAGAGCCTGCTTGGCTTGGCTGTGACTCTACCTACATAGCAAGCTAGCGGTCACTGTGACTCAATGGAGGCTGATGGAGGGAGAAATCGGAGGACAGACTCATTGTAATGAATGGAACTGAACCGTTCCATTTATTCCATCCCAGCTGTTGCAATGAGCCTTCACCAACCTCCACTGCCGTGCCTCATCTGCCAGACTGACTCACCCCGTTGCTGTCCATGGAGCTCTGCCTTAGCAGCAAGGCCTTGCAGTCTGCATCCGCCTCCTCTTCCTCAGACCTCAGGCTCTTGTCTGACCGTTGGTGGGGAAGCCCTGGTCCATTAAGAGGCGTCTGCTTGTTCTTCAACAGGTGTTTGAGGAGCTCGTTGTTACCCCCAGATTCCCCTTTCGCTCCCCCGCTGTGGGAGGGGATCTGTGCTGCAGCTCCACCCTCCTCCTTCACTGTGCCCTTCCCTGAGCCCATGTGGGAGTAGGCGCCATCTCTGGGTCCGTGGCACTCGGTGCTCTCAGTCTGCTCCAGCTTGATGTTGCTGAGGATGCGTTCCTGCTCCAGAGCTTGGGCCCTGGCTAGGGCGATGTCTGATGGGAGGCTGCCCATCCCTACAGGCTGCCCACCACCACCCAGACCTCCAGAGAGCTGCCTCTCCAGCTCTGAGTGGCTATGGCTGGGGGTAGAAGTGGAGGAGCCCAGTAAGGGGGACCTGGAGAGGTCCTGGTCCCCGAAGAGGTGGGCGTTGTTCCTGGTGGGTGTGGAGGATGTGTCTGACCGGCAGGGCGTCAGAGGGGCAGTCAGGTCAGAGCGCGGCGTGGACGGCGTTTTCACGGAATCTGCGTCGTCGTTGTCGGTCTTCTTCTTCCTGTTCCTCTTCTTCTTGCCATTCTCATCAGGGATGATGTTGGAGTAGAGCTGGATCAGAGAGTGACCCGAGCCGGGGAAGTTGGAAGGCAGGGGCGTGGTGGAGTTGCCGCCCCCAAATGGAGGGCCTTCCCCGGGAATCTGTGGCATCATGCCTGGGCCGCTGAACCTCCGGGGTCTGGGTGGACCCTGGGCAAAGTTACCCTGTAGTACCATGTTATCAGGTCCAAAGCCAGGTCCCATGTCCTGAAGAATCATCCCGTTACCAATTACGGCCCTCCGGTCTCCGCCTTGCATGAAGACCCCAGGAGGAGAGCCCATCCCTGGCTGCATGGACTGCTGCAGGGGGAACATCGGTCCTAACTGCTGCTGCAGTTGTGGTAGTTGTGGCCTCTGTGGCTGCATGAAGTCCTGGGGCAGCTCAGCATTGAAGAATGGCATCTGAGAGAAGGGCACCATGTTCCCCCCGTCGGGCCCCAGCATGCCTTGCTGTTCCATCTCCATGCGTTGTTTTAGGGCTCGCTGGCGTTCTACTTCCTGCATTAGCTGGACCCTCTGCCTCTCCTGCTGCTCTCTCAGCCTCTCCCGTCGCTCTCTCTCCTGGAAGCCCTCACTGAACGGGTTGTTGTCGTCAAACTTCAAACCGGAGCCCTGTGGGGGTTTGACCCCGCCGGGTTGAGGCTGGTTTTCCATGGGCACTTGCTGGGGCATTTGGGGAGGCATCTGATGGGGCATTTGGGGAGGCATCTGTGGGGGCTGTTGAGGTAGGTTGCCCATGGGCAGCTGAGGCTGCTGAGCTGGGTTCCCCAAGGGAACCTGAAGGGGCATATTGGGTCCTCCCATGGGCATGGGAGTGCCAGGATGCCAGCCTGCTGGTGCGTTGGGCATGGGCATTTGTTGTGGAGGGGCGTTTGGCTGGCCTGTATGGATTGGCACCTGCTGCACCATGGGGTTCATAGGTGGGTGGTTCATTGGAGGCCCGCTTGGTACCATGCCGGCAGGGCCGCCTTGTATTGGTGGCATCCCTGGCACTGCTGCTGGCATCACAGTGGGAGGCATGCTACTGCCACCCTGCTGCTGCTGCTTCACTCGATACTCCTCGATCAGGTCAGCGTGCTCTTTCTGCTGCTTCCGGATCTGAAAGGACAAGAACCAAAACGATATATTACCTAAGAACATGGACAAACAGCTGCCAAGACCGACAATAACAATTCAACATTTTTACTGACTTAATTCAATGCATAATTATGACAATTACAAGAAGCCTTGAAAGGATGTCTGAACAACTGAAGGAAAAAAAGTATACATTTTGGTTTGGGTCTCAAAACTTAGTTCCAAGCAAGGGCAGTTTGAGGGTTGAATTGAGGGCATAGTCTAGTGTGAGGGTAAGACAGGGGTATAGTACTGATGAAGAAAGTGAAAGAAAGAATGAAAGTGTCCTCATCAACATTATGTACCTGCTCCAGCTGTTTCTGCACCATACCCTGCTCCTCTGTCACGTGTTTGAGCTGCTCCGCGTCCTCCTCTGGGAACTCCCTCCCAGCCTTCTTGGTCGTCCTCTGCTTGGCACACAGGGCCTTCTTGGACTTCCTGTGGGCTCCGATCTTTTCCTCCAGAAACTTCTGCTGCATCTGGAGCAGCTGCTGGGTCTCCTGAAGCCACTCCTCATACTGAGCCTTCTGAGCATTGTCTGAGGGGGAGATAAGAGACAGTGAGTTTTCATAGTACTTATGTACATCAAAATATCTATTACAAAAGCCTTTTGGGCTAAGCCTGATAAAGCCAAAAATATCTGAGGGGGAGACTGAATTTTTTCTTTTACAGATTTATACCATTATTGAACTATTGCTCATAAATCAAAAATATACATTTACTGACGATTGTGAATGTTAACAGAGTTGAACTTACTGTCAAAACCTGGTCCAAAATTGGGAGGATTGGGCCTTGTCACCGAGGATGTCAGCTTGCCATCCTGGTTTTGAAATTGACAAACAATAAATTGTTGTTACAATTAGTGTTTACCTAGCATGCTTTGTGTATGAAAGATGACTTAAGAGAGCTGACTTGGTTAAGTGTTTCAGTTACCTGTCCAACGGTCTGTGGAGGAACAGGGGTGCTTTCAGGACATGGTGCCGCAGGACCAGGTTGGAACCTGTTCATGACAACCGGTGTCATTCCCATGTTGTTTTGAACCATGACTTTGTTGATGCCTTTCAGAGCAACCATCTTTGCTTTCATAATAGGGTCAGTGATGGCGTCAAAATCTGCAGACAAAAAAAAGATGTGCGGTCAGCAACTTGCCCATTACAAAAGACACAAATTCCTCTACGCATATCACTTACATTTATACGGTTTACTACTCATACAAAATTGGCATAAAGCATTTAGCCTAAACGAAAAATGTCTAGTTACCGATGTTGGGAAAAAAGGAGTCACTAGAGGAGCGTTGTCTGATCATGGCCTGCATCTGCCTCTGCTGCTGCTGCTCCTGCCTCTCCTGGTCCAGCAGGTCCTGTAGGAGGAGGGGCTGCTCCTCCAGCAGCAGGGGTCTGTACCCCCCTGGCCCCGCCTGGCCCAATGTCTGGGCCAACAGGGCCTGCTGAGCCGGGGTCAACCCACTCTGGTCCATCTCAAAGGTAGACATGGATGCTTCTTCTTCTTCTCCCCTGTTAGTGAGATCCATGGTTTGAGATCCCATACTAAGTCCAGAGTTATTCTGAGTGTCTTGGTTTGGCTGTGTCATAGAGTTACCACTGCCTTGATTGTCACAGGTGGAGGCCTCTGGTTGCTGCTTGATTAATAAGCTAGAGAGCACTGGCGTGGAGTCAGAGAGCACTCCTGATTGGTTGTTAGTGTTTCCGTCTACTTGTTGCTCTGTCCTCTCATTGGACGTCTGAGACAGATTGTCTTTGTCCTCCATTTTGATCTTCTGCTCCAAAGGCAGGGAGGAGGCAGCGCTCTGGCTGCAGCTCACTTCCTGTTTCACATCAGCTGACGAGAAAGACTTCTCGGCCGTTCCCTCTGACTTCCCCATTCCAGATGTCAAATTGGAGAAGGAAGATGCAGCACCACCACAGCTAGAGCTCCTCTTCTCAGACAAGGCCTTCTGGAAGTCAGAGGTGTCGCTGTGGTCTTCCATGGGGTCACTAAGGTCCAGCTCCTCGTTGAACATGTCCTTCTTGACGTCGTCCAGGTCGGGGTCCGTGTACGCGATGATGTCGAACTTCCCCGACGTCAGGAAGTCATCCAGGTGCAGGTCATTGGTCTCTAGGTCCAGGTCTTTGCCGTCTTCTTCCGGATCCAGGTTTAGGTTGTCCAGATCGGCATCGACTAGGTCTTTCACCTCAACGTCTTCCAGGTCTTTGACGGCCGATTCGACCGTGTCCAGTTTGTCCTCCACTCCGTCGTTGTTGTTAGCCATGGAGACTCCTCCCTGACCATCACTCTTCCCAGCAGAAGGCCGAGGCATCATCATGGAAGGAGCTGATATACCCTGGGTCTCGTTCGAAGCAGGCTGGCTCATGGACCTCATCAGCTGGACTTGCCTGGGCATGGCTCCCCCTTGCATCTGGGCCTGCTGATGCTGGTGGAGGTTCTCCATGCTGGATGACAGCTGGCCTTGGCTTATCTGCTGGTCCCCAATTGAATCCATCATCATCCTGGGGCCTTGGTTTGGAGGGAACCGGAATTCAGGCCCTCCCATGAAACTAGGAGGCCTCTGGGGCTGGAGGTTGGGATCCATGTTGTTCCCTTGCATAGCAGAGGACCCGAAAGGGAGACGAAGCCTGCTGTCAGGGGCTCTGTGTCTCAGCTCAATGAAAGGCTGGCCCATGATGTTGTGCTGTTGCATTGGCACACCGCTAGGAGGGAAATGCTGGGGTAGCCCCATAGGGTTGTTAGGGTTGCCCCCCATGGACTTGGCCATGTCTACAGTCATGGAGCGTCTCATCCCCTGGTGGACGTCCTGCATGGGGTGAGGGCCTCTGGGGAAGAACTCCTGGCCTCCATGAGGTCCCGGCCCACCAGGTGGAAATCCAAACCTGAGCAATCGAAAGAAGAAAAAATAAACATTTCAATACATATTCCAGTGACGAGTTTCCTCCGACACATTCAATCTAGAGTGACTCTGTTTTTTCGTAGACTAAGAAATTCATGAGTCATACAAAAGATAAAGTCTTATTTAGTAAGTCTGTAAGGACAGTAATTCCAGTTACAAACCTTGGCCCCTGATGTCTGATATTAGGATCACCCAGGTACTGTCCTCTGGGGAACTGGCCCTCATTAGGGAAAGGGCCTAGCTGGTCCCCTGGGAAGGGTCCAGGTCCAGGGAACCTCATTGGTCCGCTCATGGGGGCCGGCCCAGGGTAGGGTGGAGGGGGCCGGCTGAACATCTCGCCCTGTTGTCCGTGGCCCTCATGCGGCCAGGGTCGAGGTGTCCCAGGGCCAGGGGCCATGATACCAGCGTTCTCCTGGCGGATGGCACTCCTCTGCTGCTGCTGCTTCAGGATCAGCTCTCGGATGCGTTGACGCTAAATAAAACAACACGAGCTGTCAGACCTCCAACTAGAAAATGAATGTTTCATGTCTGAACTCTACTGAATATTTGACTGAAAAAAAGTTATAGAAATGTATTAGCTATTAATCACCGTGGCTTCAAGCTTTCCAAGGGATAAAAATGTTAATTTACTTGAATACTGAAACAGTTTAAATTTATCTGAAAGATAACACTTTAAATGAAGATAAGAGCAGTTTAAACAGCGTCAGTCCTCCTACCTGTTTGAGTCTCTCCTCACTGTCGGCCAGAGAAACACTCTGAACCTCAGAGGGGGTTCCAGGCATCTGGGAGGGGTTTTGCAGATGTCCTCCAGGGTCCTGGCCTTGCTGCTCCTTCATCTCTGGTCTCTCTGCTGGCTGTGGACGTGGGGTCATGGGCGCCTGCTCGTAAGGATCATGGATAGGCGTCTGGTTGGGCCGTCTGGATGGCGACGGAGAGAATCCATCATCGACCATCCCACTGTTATGCTTTGGTGTATGTGACCCAGGGTGTGGAAATGGAGCATCTTGGAGCCTAACGCTTTGAGGCGGGGAGAAGGGATCCTGGTTCCCCATGGGACCAGGCCTCTGCCCCTGCAGCCTGCCCAGCCTGTCAGACCCCATCCCTGGATGCGGGGTGCTTGGAGCCTGGGCATACGGGTCATTCAGCATGGGCCTGGGGGTCTGGGAGAACATGTCATCGCTCAAAGGCCTGGGTGTTCCAGGTTGACTAGCGTAGGGATCCATGGGGGCTAGTCTTTGGCTGCCTGGGGACTTTGAGAACCTGTGGGGCCGAGGGGTACCAGGTTGCTGTGTGTAGGGGTCCATGGAGTGCCCGGGGGACATCCTCTGACCGGGGGGCTGGGGGTGTGGGTGAGGGTGGTGGAACTGGTTCATACCAGGGCGAGGAGTGTTGTGCTGCTGGGAATAAGGGTCAGAGGACTGGCTGTAGTTGTCGTTTGGACGAGGAGTGCCTGGAGGTCGAGCGTAGCCGGACTCAAAGAATGGTTTGTTTCTAGGAAGTTGGTTGATAAGGTCATTCATAGGTCTAGGGGTACCTGGCATCTGAGCATAGGGGTCTGATGAGGGTCCTGGGGGTTGGGCAAAGGGGTCATATGTGAAGTGGTCAGGCCTTGGAGTAGAGGGAGCATGGGCATAAGGGTTTCGGTTGGGTAACGGTGCCAATGGGCCGGGCTGGGTTAAGGGGTGGCCCTGGGTATGGTGCTGGGCCATCCTCGGTGGACTGGTGAAGCTATCATGAGGTCGTGGGGTCAGAGGGGCCTGAGCGTAGGGGTCTCCCTGCTGAGAGAACCGGTCTGAGGGATGAGGCATTGGTCTGTTGAAGGGGTCCTGGGCCTGGGGTGGAGGCATGGGGGTCTTGAACAAAGACTGAGGGACTGAGCCCTGCTCGTTGCTCCCCGGGATGGGAGCTAACAGAGGTCTGGAGTAAGGGTCTGACAGGATCATCCTGTTCTGAGCCATCCGTTGGTAGGCCTCTTGGCGGATCATGGGTCTAGAGTAAGGGTCTCCCCGCACTGGAGAGCCCATCAGGGGTCTTCCCTGGGGACCCTGGTTGACTCTGGGTGGGCACATAGGCTTCAGGAAGGGGTCAATGTCCCCAGCAACAGGCCTGGGGGTGTCAGGGGGCTTGGCATAGGGATCCATCTCCCTACTCATAGACGTGGGGGAGCCGAAAGCCTCGTGAGCCGGAGACGTGAGCCTCCCTCTGTCCTGTTGCTCCATCAGAGAGGTGGGAGACTTGCCAGACTCCATGGACATCCTGCGACATGCGCTGGGCCCCAGAGTTGGAGGCCTGGGGGTCCCCACCATCTTGGCGTAGGGGTCCCAGGGAGAGGAGGGTCTGGAGCCGGATGAGCCAGGGGAGAACACCTGGGGCGACTGGGGCTGAGAGGACCCCCCTGAGGGAGGGGGAGGAGGAGGCCGCAGGAACACGTCTTCAGGGGGCCCCGAGGTGGGCGTCCCTGAGAGTTGACGTCGGATGAACCCCTCTTTCCCCCCGGTGCTGTGCTGCATAGGGGACATGCTGCCGTTGCTGCCGTGCTGGGAGGAAGGGCTCTGGTTGCCGCTGTTGTTACCGTCTCCCTCCGACTGGCTGCCTGACTGCTGTTGCTGCTGCTGCAGCTGCTCGTTCTTCACCTGCTCCAGCTTCTGGGTGGCTTCGATCTTGGCTTGCTGCCTGCTTTTCTGTCTCATTTGCTGTTGTAGGAACAGGATGAAAAGGCAAAACATGTTTAGTCTTTCAAATAGTACCTGAACAAGCAATGCATGTTTGCTTAGCACCCTAAATCCCAAAAGACCAAAAAGGTCTATTTAACTACTGTTTATTTTTTATTTTTTTTGGGGGGGGCTTCCTAAACTGCATCTCAACTAGTTGCATCTCACACACACTAGCATACTAACCTGCCTGCACACGCAACTACCTCACCTCTCTGAATACAACCTTACCTGTCTAAACTTCCACTCTTGCTCATGCTCTGACTCTTTGGGTTTCAAAGGGTCCTTAAAGAGCAAGTCTGTGTCTAGAGGTATGTTGGGGTCAAACACCTCGTCGGGGAGTTGCAGTGAGGCGGGGGGCTGCTGGGACAGCGGAAGCTGCTGCGACTGCTGCCTCTTCAGACTCTCGTTGGACATCTGGACCTTGTTGATGCGCAGAGCAGCCCGGTTGTCCCTCGCCTTTTGCTGCAGAGCAAAATCAGTCGCAGACACACACACACGTGCGGACACACACAGAATAAATAATTGCAGTTGGTGCCATGGAAACCTTTGGAGACTATTACAAGTTTTCTTTCAGTAGATGTTTTATTAAGTGCAGGTCCTTAAAACATGGCCTCTGCCAGATAAAATTACTTCTCATGAACGTAATTACAGGTTCCGTGTGAGGTTAACACTGAGAACTGTGGTTCTTCTGTTAATTGGTTCATCTGTGAATGGCTGGATTTGAAATAGCACTGGCAACGGAAATTATTTAACACTTTTAGTCTGACTCGTAAAAAAAATACAAGATCAAACTAAATTATTTGGGATTCTCACATTTCCAATGCATGTCTACTGGGGACAATGTAATCTAAGCAGAATGAAATGCATCTTACCACATATGGGGCCCTGTCTTGCGAACTTGCTTTCCTCCACAGCTTTGCAATCTGTTTGACTCTTGTAGACCAGTCTAAAGTGACAAGATTGATTTTATATTAGACCAACAACATGCTGCAGCTCAAGAAGGACATCTGATATAATCTTAAATTGTAAATTAAGTCATGGTAATGGCTGGACTGCACAGAGGTGTGACTGGGGGACACACCTGGGAACTCATCCTTGAGGCTGGGGAAGTTGACATTGGTGTAGAGGACAGGGGCCACAGTGGCTAGCTCCCCCAGAGTCTCCTCCTTCTCCCACTTCAGTGTGCTCCTCTGGGCGTTGGACATGGCCTCCGCCTCGCCCCCCTCAGCCCCAGGAGGAGGGGTGGGGCCTGGGCCACTGTGGACAGGACCAGGACCCCCCTGCCACGGACCCACTGCCTCTCTGGCCATCTGATTAAACTTCCTGTCCCTGTAGGAAGGACAAAAGAACACGGATTTGAGCAATATACGAAAACATGTAGTCATCATTATCATCGTTTGGTAGACCACAAGCTTCCTCCAGTAACTAGCAATGTTTGCAATTTGATGTGGTTGAATCGTGTAGTTATGCTCGCACTTGACTCCCCCCCAATAGCTCTGACTTTACTGATAGCTACTTTATTGAGGAAAAATGTACTTACTATGACTGAGATATGTGGTTGTCCCACCTAGCTATCTTAAAATGAATGCACTAACTGTTTGTCGCTCTGAATAAGAGCGTCTGCTAAATGATTAAAATGTAAATGTTATGCAGATACATTCAAATACTATCAGGCATGTATGACATAGCGTTCATTACAGTTTGTCAGATCATTATGTGGATAGAGAGAGTGCTTTCCACAGCAAGGTAAGAGTTGCAGTTAGTACCTTGGATTGTCAGTGAAAGGCATGCGGTGGAGGGGGGAGAAGTTGTCTGGGATACATGGTTCTGCTCCGGGATGGGACGGATTCAGAGGGAATCGTTGGTTAGGTCCCATCAGCCCGTTTATCATTGGCATCCGTGGAAACATGGCATTCCCTGTATGGAAAAACACATGATTATATCAATGCATTACTTTGGACAAACCATGCTCACGTGACAAGCAACCTCACCTGAGACCTGAAGACTTGCATTGGCTCCCAGAGCTAATGCCTAGGCTTTATCTCAGTGGGCTGTCTTGTGGTACACTGAAGACTCAGCTGGTCACATAGGTCTGATAAAATATTCAGAGAAGAGCGAACAACTGCCAGTAACTACTACAGGATCAACATAGGTATCATACCTGCGTGAGGGTGTGTCAGGCTGGCTCCAGGTGGGCCGTGGGGGTGAGGCATCTGTGGTGGATGGCTGGTGCTGGGGCTCAGGACGGCAGTGAACAGGTCCTCCACGTCCTTCCCCTCTAGCTCTATGGGGGGCAACAACAGAGACAACACAGTTAAAACTGATAGAGACAGATAATACTAATGTTCGGTTATGTATAACCCTGGTTCTCTGAAGGAGGGGAACGGATAGCATGATTACAAAAAGTGTAATTACTAATAACCAACCTGGTATTTTGTAGAGTTTGCTGAGAATCGATTCTAAAACCAGAAGAGAAATATATTATTTACCTCAGTAAATGCATACTCAGTAAATCAGAGCTATACCAAGAAGTGAAGTGTCGATGTAGGTTCTGAAAAACAGATGTGTGTTGACCACCAGGTCTCGTACTGACCATCAGCCATCTCCAGCTCTGGGCTGAGGATCTCGTCCAGATGTTCATCTGTCCTCCGACCAGAATGAGACTGGGGGTGTGCTGGGGAGCTGTCTGTCAGGGGCCCAATGTCCAGACCAGCTGAGGAAACACACACAGATGTACACACACAGACACACATTGAAAAAAACACACACGTTAGCAAAGATACACACCAACAACCAAGCATGGTACGCTGACTTCAAAGCTTGATGCAATCAATCTGTGATAGTGTTTATTCTCTATATAATATAGATTAAAACATGTAACCTTCAGCAATTTTTATTAGAACTTTACCTAGCTAATAAGCTTTGAATCTCATTTGAATAAAATAAAAAGGGGAATATCTGCATTGTGTGGAAATTAAATAAAGATGATAAGCAACGGTGCAAGCTTAGCAGAATTACTCATGAAGGCTATCCTTTGAGTTTCATCTCTAAATCTCATCACAATCTCTACTATCCTCTCAAAACACATGACAATCATCCTTCTATCTATCAACGTCAGGATGACTGCTGCAAACTGAGCTACCGATACTTTTTCTTTAATCAAATAAATACTGAGTGCATTTTAAGTTACATTAAGTAGTATTTACTGAGAATTAACCAAGGAAGCATATTGGCCTCAGTGGAGCTGCTAAGCCATTCTTCACCAATCACAGAGCAGGGCCGAGAGAGACTGACCTTCGCTGTCATCACTATATTGAAGGCCACTCACCAAGGCCTCTCATTCTCTCTAAATCATTTGCCTCTAAAAAAAAAATGTTTTGTTAGTTTTTTTAGTCATTTTAGCAGAAGCTCTCATCCAGAGCGACTTACAGTTAGTGAGTGCATACATTTTCTGAGTTTGACCGATTGTTTCAGTGAGAAACTGAATCACTCACGTTTTCTAAGGTCGGTTTGCCTTGAATGTCACAAACTGAACCAAAAACCAAACAAAGGATGGGAACACCTTTCATATGTGAGAGGCTATTATTGACCACATGAGAGCATGCATGTAAAGATGAGCACAAAGAAGCACTCTCACACCCCAATGTGCGGACGCATACACTCACACACAGATCCTCACTTCCTTGACTTGAGCGATGAAGTCAACCTAAATAAAAAGCTTGCCACACACACACGGTAAATGAATGTGAATGTACTATTGCTACTAAGACTATGGAGCCCTTACCAAAAGGAGGTGGTGAGGTGTCAACCTGGAAATGGCAAAAATCAAGACCTACAGGAACAGAACCCAAATCAATACACAAAATGAGTGAATAAAACAGAATAGTGGAGACAGAGCAGGCAAACCAAACTGGAAAGAAATGCATAAAACACACTTGAAACAAGTCAAATAAAGATCAAACAAAACTCAAGATGTACAAAATAATTATGAAAAGTATGTGACATGAAACTGAATAAATGTGACATTTTGAAAAGACAGACAGCAAGACATCCCAGGCTGGCAGTAAACTCTTCCCACTAGGACAGCCTCAGAGATCAGTGACATACCAGAGTCACCCGTCTGTATTCCCAGGAGGTCTGAATCCGTGTTGAGAACCTCAGACAGATCCACTAGAGGTTCTTCAGAGGGCTCTGTGGATGAGAAGACAGTCAGGAACCACAGCATGGATCAATGGACAAGAGTGTGGTGTGTGAGCGTGCGAGCATGTGTGTGTGTGTGTGTGTGAGCATGTGTGTATGTGAGTGTCTGTGCCTCTATGTGTATCTGTGTAGTACATACGGGGTCCTGGTGGTCCGGCAGGTCTGGACGTGGCCGAGGCTGCACTGAGCAGGGGGTCTGAGGAGGGGTCCAGGAAGCTGGTGGTGGGGTGCTTCCTGTCCCTCTGGGGCCCGGCACCGGCCCTTGCTTGGCCCTCCTCCATTACGCCAGACTCCACCGCCTGCTGCCTGCTCTGCTTGCTCTTATCCAGCAGGTCCTTACCGAAGAACGCCTCCTAGGCAACACAACATGGGTAAATTCTCCATAGACCCACCATACTTCAGGATAACTGTCAATCTTTATTATCTCCCACCTTTTATCAAGAGTCACAGAAACATGATCCATCCCTTCACGGCACTGTTTTTATATCTTTTTAAAAATTATATGCTATGTAGAACAGAGTTAACAAGGAGACGCATTGAGGCAAACACTTTTGCTGTTATTGCCACGACTAGTGTCAGTGGACTCTTTCTCTCGCTCTCTACCAGTGTAGATGGATCCACGTCGCTATCTCCCCATCAGCAATGTCTTATCTCTCCAGCGGATGGACACGTGACTGTTGCAGCCGAACCACTGTGCTGGGACATTAAAAGCCTAGCTAACCATTTCAATAATTAATCCAATGTGCTCCTCTGTGTTGGGTGTCGGGACCCTTTAGGTTTTACTTGGTCTCTGGGCCTGGCCCTCCTGCTGTGGAGCACAGACCAGCAGTGACAGATGCCCATGGCTTAATGCACCTCATCTGTTTCGGGCCAACACAAGGTGACATCGAGCTCAGGGTTTGAGACGAGAGAGAAAGGGAGGGAGAGAGAGATAAATAGTGAGGGAGGGAGGGAGAGAGAGATAGAGGGAGGGAGAGAGAGATAGAGGGAGGGAGAGAGAGATAGAGGAACTCGTGGCGCCCCCAACTCCTTCCCTCCCCAACCACCCCCACTCCCAAAAAAATGGCACTTACCTTTCCTACTAGCACTGACTTTGCTGATTATTACTTCAGGGAAAATGTACTTGATACATTTGTGATATGTTGTCTCACACCTAGCTATCTTAAGCCGAATGTAAATGTAAATGTAACATGATGTTCGGTATAATGGTTGCCTCAATTTGTAAACACAGAAAGTGGTTGACATTTAGATTGGCAGGCCCCTTCTCAAAAAACCTACACTCGATCCCTCCGATGTCAACAACTACAGACCAGTATCCCTTCTTTCTTTTCTCTCCAAAACTCTTGAGCGTGCCGTCTCTAGCCAACTCTCCTGATATCTCTCTCAGAATGACCTTCTTGATCCAAACCAGTCAGGTTTCAAGACTGGTCATTAAACTGAGACTGCTCTTCTCTGTGTCACGGAGGCTCTCCGCACTGCTAAAGCTAACTCTCTCTCCTCTGCTCTTATCCTCTAGACCTATCCGCTGCCTTTGATACTGTGAACCATCAGATCCTCCTCTCCGAGTTGGGCATCTCCGGCGCTGCTCACTCTTGGATTGCGTCTTACCTGACAGGTCGCTCCTACCAGGTGGCATGGCGAGAATCTGTCTCCGCACCACGTGCTCTCACCACTGGTGTCCCCCAGGGCTCAGTTCTAGGCCCTCTCCTATTCTCTCTATACACCAAGTCACTTGGCTCCGTCATATCCTCACATGGTCTCTCCTATCATTGCTACGCAGACGACACACAATATATTTTCTTCTTCTGAACCGCATCTCTGCATGTCTGGCAGACATATCACTGTGGATGTTGGATCACCACCTCAAGCTGAACCTCGGCAAGACGGAGCTGCTCTTCCTCCCGGGGAAGGACTGCCCGCTCCATGATCTCGCCATCACGGTTGACAACTCCATTGTGTCCTCCTCCCAGAGTGCAAAGAACCTTGGCGTGACCCTGGACAACACCCTGTCGTTCTCCGCTAACATCAAAGCAGTGACCCAATCCTGCAGGTTCATGCTCTACAACATTCGCAGAGTACGACCCTGCCTTACACAGGAAGTGGCACAGGTCCTAATCCAGGCACTTGTCATCTCCCTTCTGGATTACTGCAACTCACTGTTGGCTGGGCTCCCTGCCTGTGCCATTAAACCCCTACAACTTATCCAGAACGCTGCAGCCCATCTGGTGTTCAACCTTCCCAAGTTCTCTCATGTCACCCCGCTCCTCCGCACACTCCACTGGCTTCCAGTTGAGGCTCGCATCTACTACAAGACCATGGTGCTTGTCTACGGAGCTGTGAGGGGAACGGCACCTCCTTACCTTCAGGCTCTGATCAGATCCTACACCCAAACGAGGGCACTACGTTCATCCACCTCTGGCCTGCTAGCTCCCATACCTCTACGGAAGCACAGTTCCCGCTCAGCCCAGTCAAAGCTATTTGCTGCTCTGGCACCCCAATGGTGGAACAAGCTCCCCCACGACGCCAGGACAGCGGAGTCACTGACCACCTTCCGGAGACACTTGAAACCCTACCTCTTTAAGGAATACCTGGAATAGCATAAAGTAATAATTCTTACCCCTCCCCCCCATAAAAAAAAAAGTGGTTGTCCCACTGGCTATCATAAGTTGAATGCACCAATTTGTAAGTCGCTCTGGATAAGAGCGTCTGCTAAATGATGTAAATGTAAATATGTTTTTTGCAGCAAGACAGCCTCTAGTCCAAACACTGTGCCTACCAAATGGTGGTGTTGCGTGATTGTAACGTTACAATTTTGCCAGGAAATCATGGCTGCACATATTCCCTCAGTTCTAACGACAACAAGACATCTTCCAAATCACATAAACCCTGAGACAAATGTCAGAGTCATAATATAGATGTGGGACTGACCTGCAGGTAGGTGGGAAAGGCCTCCTCTAGCTTGGTTTTCTTCTTCCTGTAGCGTTTCTTGATCTTCTCTGGTACCTCCAGCCCAGGGGGAGTCTCATCCAAAGGGGTGTCAGGCAGCACCTCTCCCCAGCCTGCAGTAGGGGCAGAACATTTGGTTCAGAATCTTGTCCTTCAAAATACAGAATCTGTTTATTAGGTTTATGTATTCTACAAGAAAACTAAAATCACTAGCACCAACAATTAAAACGAGTAATTTATATCTTTGTACAACAGAGGTAGAAATAGGATATTCAGGCAAAAGCAATTGAAGATGCATTGGACTTGGGTAGATGAGTTGTGTGAGAACTGACCCTCCTCCTTTCCTGTGGGGGGTTCAGAAACAGAGCCGGAGGAATCCTTCCTGCTCAGGGATCGTTTGGCCTTGCCTAGGCCCTGACCTGGACGGCTCCGCTGGCGCACCATGAAGCCACCGATGCCTGAGAAAGAGATATTCAACAATGAACCAATACAATCACTCAAAACTCTTCAACTGTTCCAGTGAAAGCTTACAGACAAATTGGGGGAAATTAGATTGCTGGTTCCTAGCAAGTAAAATATCCAAATTGTCATACAATTCTATTTCATTAGAATGCTACTGATCTGTTTAATTTGGAATTTGGTGTTGGGAGTACAACGAACACGTGGGTCTTTTTCTTGGTGTTTCAATAAAGCTTGTCTCAATGCTTTTCACTAGAGAGGGAAACATCTTTAATCTAGACTACAGAAATCACAATTTATAATCCCTAGAATGAGCCCTCTTTCTTTCTTTGCTTCCAAGGCCTTGTCTTGTCATCCCTGAGCATGGCTGGCTGTGCAGCACCATTTCACGCTCCAGAGGAGCTGTCTCCTCCAATCAGGTGCCCTACCCGGCCGGTACGGCTTCCTCTTCCTCTTCTTGCTGTCGTCGGCCCCCTTGGACTTGTCTTCTGCTGGCTCTCGCTCCGGGCTCGAGTCAGACTTCCCCTCGCAGTCCAGAGAGAGGTCCGTCTCTGTGAGTGAGTGAGAGAGAGAGAGAGAGAGAGAGAGAGAGAGAGAGAGGTGATGAGCAGACAGCCAAGGGGCACTACCCAGCAGTCTGCAGACTGGACCAACAGACCCCCCTGCCCCCAAGCTACAGCACCCAGGGTCAATCCCATTATGAGGGAATTTACCTCATAATTAAGTTCACCCCAAACTCTACCCCACCACCTATCCATCTGCTGTCAAGAGTCGTAGGAATTTGAGAATGTGAAAGACTATTGCCGTTTCAGAGGAAAGGTGCTTCTTAGTCCAGGACTAGTGTTAATCTGTGTACAGGAAACTGGTTCATAGTGTTTTCTGACAAGCTTGTTGTATTTAAAGTCAGGCACCTCTGTTTACATTCTCAAGACAATCTATGACAATGTCTAAACTGCATATGTTTTGTAAAAGTGCCTAATTTATAGTTTTTTACTGTATACTGAGCTGGGGGTAAGATCCATTAAACTATTGTGAAAAAAATCTATAAAGTCAGGCACCTCTGTGGTCCTCCATGTCCTCGTCCCGGGAGTGTTCTGACAGCAGGTCCAGGGGGGCCTGCAGCACTGCTACACTGTTCTGGTTGATGATCTTCAGCTTCAGCTTGGGCTTGGGTTTCCTACGCCGCGACGCAGGGGCCGACAGGCTCTGGAGCTGACACAGGCCCGACTCCGTCAGACACACGCCGTCCTGAGTGTACGTCCTCACCAAGTCTGAAAGACACACAGACACAAGCACACACACACACAACTCACAAGGTTATGGTACTGTATGATGGCCCTAGATGAACTGGAATGAGTGAATGTACTGGATTGTCCAAGTTGATTGAAATTAGGTGTTCAAATCCACCCAAAAGCTGTCTTTTGGTATTTGTTTCATTAGTCCATTGTTGACATAGTCCCAAAATGTTTTGCTTGTCAGCATTAAAGTTTTCAAGATATGCAACTTTCAAAATACAGAAATCATCCCAGTATGGTGCATCATATGATGCTGCGTTTGCATCATACGGGGATGATTTCTGTATTTTGAAAGTTGCATATCTTGAAAACTTGAATGCTGACAAGCAAAACATTTTGGGACTATGTCAACAATGGACTAATGAAACAAATACCAAAGTTTTTGGGTGGAGTTTTTGGGTGGAGTTTTCCTTTAAGTTGAAGAGCTAAAAGGCCACTCGGAGATGAAGATATCTCTCAATCGACAATATCTAGAAGAAATATCTCAAAATACAAAAGGCAGACAGACGTATGTTCTTCTTACCCATTTCTTTAGCCTTTGTGACAAACTGCGTCATAACTGCCGGCTCACTGGCCTTGGACACTAGTGCTGTTGATGCAGTAAAGGAGGACACAAAAGCCAATGATTAATTGGCTGCAGCCTGCGAGGCTCAGATACAGTAGCAAGGTTTCAGAGGCTATAGTGTATGCAGTAGTCCTTACCCTTGGAGGTCTTGTGGACTCGGCACATGGTGCAGTCAAAGCTGCTGTCTGCTGCTTTCTCCACATCCTCCTCTGAATGGAGACCCTGGCAGGAACCATGGATCCATCTATGGTAGAGAAAGAAGAGGGTTACGATAGAGGGACAGGGGGAGAAGGGAGTTGGGGTTAGGGTTACGATAGAGGGACAGGGGGAGAATGGAGTTGGGGTTAGGGTTACGATAGAGGGACAGGGGGAGAAGGGAGTTGGGGTTAGGGTTACGATAGAGGGACAGGGGGAGAAGGGAGTTGGGGTTAGGGTTACGATAGAGGGACAGGGGGAGAAGGGAGTTGGGGTTAGGGTTACGATAGAGGGACAGGGGGAGAAGGGAGTTGGGGTTAGGGTTACGATAGAGGGACAGGGGGAGAAGGGAGTTGGGGTTAGGGTTACGATAGAGGGACAGGGGGAGAAGGGAGTTGGGGTTAGGGTTACGATAGAGGGACAGGGGGAGAAGGGGGTTGGGGTTAGGGTTACGATAGCGGGACAGGGGGAGAAGGGAGTTGGGGTTAGGGTTACGATAGCGGGACAGGGGGAGAAGGGAGTTGGGGTTAGGGTTACGATAGAGGGACAGGGGGAGAAGGGAGTTGGGGTTAGGGTTACGATAGCGGGACAGGGGGAGAAGGGAGTTGGGGTTAGGGTTACGATAGAGGGACAGGGGGAGAAGGGAGTTGGGGTTAGGGTTACGATAGCGGGACAGGGGGAGAAGGGAGTTGGGGTTAGGGTTACGATAGTGGGACAGGGGGAGAAGGGAGTTGGGGTTAGGGTTACGATAGAGGGACAGGGGGAGAAGGGAGTTGGGGTTAGGGTTACGATAGCGGGACAGGGGGAGAAGGGAGTTGGGGTTAGGGTTACGATAGAGGGACAGGGGGAGAAGGGAGTTGGGGTTAGGGTTACGATAGCGGGACAGGGGGAGAAGGGGGGTTAGGGTTACGATAGAAGGACAGGGGGAGAAGGGAGTTGGGGTTAGGGTTACGATAGCGGGACAGGGGGAGAAGGGGGGTTAGGGTTACGATAGAAGGACAGGGGGAGAAGGGGGTTGGGGTTAGGGTTACGATAGAGGGACAGGGGGAGAAGGGAGTTGGGGTTAGGGTTACGATAGAGGGACAGGGGGAGAAGGGAGTTGGGGTTAGGGTTACGATAGCGGGACAGGGGGAGAAGGGGGGTTAGGGTTACGATAGAAGGACAGGGGGAGAAGGGAGTTGGGGTTAAGGGTACCATAGAGAGCCTGTGAGTCTCTGATGTGACAGACTGCACTTCACATGAAATGGTTGGTAACATGTAAATAATAATAATAATAATAATAAAGATATTTGACTGGTTGGGGAGGAGCAGGGGCCCACCTGTCGCATTGGCGGCACTGCACCACAATCTCGTCCTCGCTGTAGTCCTGGAGACAGAAGGGGCACGTCGCCAGGCTGGCACAGGGGGCGCACTGGGTGTAATTATTCTGCCACTCACACCTCCGGCCTGGCGAGGTGGCACCACACTGGGTACAGGACACACACCTGCAGGAGAGCACAGGAGAGGGAGTGAGGACAGGTGTCAATGAAGAGCTGAGTAGTACATTCAGGTGGTTGTACACTAAGTACAGAGCATTGAGAAATAATAATTAGATCATTCATGGAGAAAAAGGAAAGGTTGTTTTGTGTGAGGAGTTGGCAAATAACTGACTTTTTACTTACATCTACAAATATTGATGTTATACTATATAGGGAATAGGGTGCATTTGGGACACAGCCATGTTATCATAATAGGAAGAGGTTGAGGGGATGGACAGATGAGGCAGCAGTCAGCTACCCACCATTTGCACTTCCAACTGTCCTTGGGTACGTTCTGCAGCGGAGGGTCCAGGCAGTAGGTGTGGTAGCTGATGTCACAGTCGTCACACAGCAGCAGACGGCCCGGGTCGGTGGCCTGACCGCACGCCTCACACACCGTACACTCCAGACAGCGCCAGCCTTTATTCAACACCACCTTGGTAATCTGGGATGAGAGGACAGGATCAGTGTTGTGTTGTGTGAGTATATTGGCAAAAGTCCAAATTGCGTGTGCTTATCTCAGTAAAACAGTCCTATAGTAATGGACATTGATATATAGCTGTCCCGCTGAGCTACACTAAATAATTTTGTTTGCAGTAATTGGCAGCATTAAGACAGAAGGATAAAAGCAACTTGAGCCGAGCGTCATCTGATTACAGAGTTAACTTGGCCCGTTTAATCCAGTTGACACTCACACACATTGAATCCGTCACATCCAGGTTAAAATCTAGGCTACACAATTCAAAGGATTTGAAATCAGTAGACGATTAACCCTAAGCCCAATCATAACTGGGGTTCCCATGTTTCCTATTCTTATGTAGTCCAATCTTCAGTAAGACCTCAGAGTGGCTCTGCCACTGTAAAGGATGGGGGCCTTACCTTGATGCCAACACAGAAGGGGTGGTAGCACTGCCCACACTGGGCACAGGCCAGGAGACGACCCTCTGCACCCAGCCCAAAACTCCCACACACTACACACATGTCCTGAGAGGGAAACAAATGGAGTTTACAGTTTACACACCATACTAGAGATTCAAAGTTCCACTGTACCAGGGTAAGAGGGAATCATTGAATAAATGTATAAATTGTGTAGGAATACACATGCCCACCTGTTTCAATGTGAAACTGTCATTGCTGGAGAATATGACCACAGTGTTATGCATGGCATTCTCCTCTTCCTCCTTCACCTGGTATGGTGACTCCATGGAGGTCACCTGTATGTTATGAAGTATGATGCACACATTCACACTCAGTATGGATTGAGGAGGATTGTGAGTCCCTGTATGAGAAAAATTATCCTCTGATTTCTTACCAATAATACAGGGGTATAGCCTACATTTCCATAGGGCTTAATTATAGGGCATGTCCTAACATTTGATTATCTCACAGCACGTGAAGATGACAGCATCACAAGTCAATGCCTAGATATAACTATTGATTAGCATTTGGCTCTGACACTAATGCTGTGTCAATACCCTTTGCTATTGAGTAACATGCCCACTGGGAGGACTGTGTTTTTATGTTGCAGTCTTTACAGCCAGCAAATAATCAGGTCTGCTTACAATACACACCTAGGACGCTAATGGATAAGAGGTCATTAAAACAGTGTTTGTCTACCAGTTCATTGTAATGGATTAGTGTGAACTAAAGTGATCAGGTTGGTTGGTGTTGGTGACATAGCCTACCCCAGGGTTGACAGTGGGACTGGCTCCGTTCTTCCCCCTGGCTCGGCCCCGCCCACCTCTGCCTGACAGCCCTGCCCCTCTGGGTCGCCTCCTCCCAGGGAAGCCTGACCCTCGACCCTGCAGACAGAAACACACACACACCTCAGGACTCCTTCTCAACACACACACAGAGAAAACACACACACAAAGCACACAAAGAGAAACACACACAAGTCGCGCTCAGTCTCACACAGAAACACACACACGCGTCCTCGCTTGGTAGACTTGAGCGATGAAGTCAGCTTAATGAAAAAGTCTGCCATAGGGGACGTCTCCTCCAGCCCACTGTGGAGCTGTGAGGCTGCTGGTATCTAGTGAGATAAGAAACAGGAACAGCAGCTTGGTCTACTTCCACAGAGGTAATGACATTTCCCCTCCAGTGTTGTTTGCTTGGATGTTAGGTAGTAGAAAGTTGCTGGTGCAAGCAAAGCCTACGCACAGATACCAAATAGTTTGTATTGCAGAAGTCCAAACCTAAAGAAATAAACTCAGCAAAAAAAAGAACCGTCCTCGCACGGTCAACTGCGTTTATTTTCAGCAAACTTAACATGTGTAAATATTTGTATGAACATAACCAGATTCAACAACTGAGACATAAACTGAAAAAGTTCCACAGACATGTGACTATCAGAAATTGAATAATGTGTCCCTGAACAAAGGGAGGGTCAAAATCAAAAGTAACAGTCAGTATCTGGTGTGGCCACCAGCTGCATTAAGTACTGCAGTGCATCTCCTCCTCATGGACTGCACCAGATTTGCCAGTTCTTGCTGTGAGACGTTACCCCACTCTTCCATCAAGGCACCTGCAAGTTCCCAGACATTTCTGGGGGGGGGGGGGGGGGGAGGGCCCTAGCCCTCACCCGCCGATCCAACAGGTCCCAAACGTGCTCAATGGGATTGAGATCCGGGCTCTTCGCTGGCCATGGCAGAACACTGACATTCCTGTCTTGCAGGAGATCACGCACAGAACGAGCAGTATGGCTGGTGGCATTGTCATGCTGGAGGGTCATGTCAGGATGAGCCTGCAGGAAGGCTACCACATGAGGGAGGAGGATGTCCTCCCTGTAACGCACAGCGTTGAGACTGCCTGCAATGACAAGCTCAGTCCGATGATGCTGTGACACACCGCCCCAGACCATGACGGACCCTCCACCTCCAAATCGACCCCGCTCCAGAGTACAGGCCTCAGTGTAACGCTCATTCCTTCGACGATAAACGCGAATCCGACCATCACCCCTAGTGAGACAAAACCGCGACTCGTCAGTGAAGAGCACTTTTTGCCAGTCCTGTCTGGTCCAGCAACGGTGGGTTTGTGCCCATAGGCGACGTTGTTGCCGGTGATGTCTGGTGAGGACCTGCCTTACAACAGGCCTACAAGCCCTCAGTCCAGCCTCTCTCAGCCTATTGCGGACAGTCTGAGCACTGATGGAGGGATTGTGAGTTCCTGGTGTAACTCTGGCAGTTGTTGTTGCCATCCTGTACCTGTCCCGCAGGTGTGATGTTCAGATGTACCGATCCTGTGCAGGTGTTGTTACACGTGGTCTGCCACTGCGAGGACGATCAGCTGTCCGTCCTGTCTCCCTGTAGCGCTGTCTGAGGCGTCTCACAGTACGGACATTGCAATTTATTGCCCTGGCCACATCTGCAGTCCTCATGCCTCCTTGCAGCATGCCTAAGGCACGTTCACACAGATGAGCAGGGACCCTGGGCATCTTTCTTTTGGTGTTTTTCAGAGTCAGTAGAAAGGCCTCTTTAGTGTCCTAAGTTTTCATAACTGTGACCTTAATTGCCTACCGTCTGTAAGCTGTTAGTGTCTTAACGACCGTTCCACAGGTGCACGTTCATTAATTGTTTATGGTTCATTGAACAAGCATGGGAAACAGTGTTTAAACCCTTTACACTGAAGATCTGTAAAGTTATTTGGATATTTACGAATTATCTTTGAAAGACAGGGTCCTGAAAAAGGGACGTTTCTTTTTTTGCTGAGTTTATTAGAATCGCCCTTCATTCAAGCTACAAACCATAAATTGATGCAGGAGGAAAAGCAGTCATTTCTGATTCAAGAGAGATGAAAATGTATTCAACTAGGACTACTCTACATTCTACAACTGTTCAGAGCATAGGCTGTCCAGTGGTGACAACACAAAACCCATTTCGTCAAATAAGCCCTGTTGACGTTTTGAACTTTCTCAGGCCTATCTCTCCTGCACCATTCTGTGAGGTAGCCTTTCTAACACAAAAGTGTCCAGGCTCTCTGTCCAGGCTGTTGACCTGAGGGCCTCTAATGTTATTCTGGCCAATTGTGCTACATTATGCTGTCAACACATTTCCGGTGCTGGCGGCTGGATGGGCCTAATCACGACTGTCAAACTGGGGTCTACTTTCCATGAATCTCCCCCCACCACCCAAATCTCTCCACCAATCCTCCATTTAGCTCCAGACCAGTCCCTCCCAGCACCCCAGCCGTTTGACACCCTGATTGACACACAGTATGGTGCCGTTTAACCTGCCCTGGACCCCTGCTAAGACCCAGCAATTACCACCTCACTTAGAGCCAGAGCGTGTGCAGATTGCAGTATCCACTTGGGCAGGCCCACACAGCCCACTTAATAAAATCCCCATCTCCTCCCAATCACACCCACAAAAGTATGACTCAAAACAAAAACAATTAAACAAAACAGACAAACAAACACAGATTAAACCTTCTGCCTTAGGCTGCAAAGGTAGGCCAAGTTAAAGCACTGTACATTGGGTTAATGTTACATGTACATAGCCTAGCAATGGATTCTCTCTGGCGGATAAAAGTTTGGTACAGTGAGGGAAAAAAGTATTTGATCCCCTGCTGATTTTGTACGTTTACCCACTGACAAAGAAATGATCAGTCTATAATTTTAATGGTAGGTGTATTTGAACAGTGAGAGACAGAATAACAACAACAAAATCCAGAAAAACGCATGTCAAAAATGTTATAAATTGATTTGCATTTTAAATGAGGGAAATACGTTTTTGACCCCCTCTCAATCAGAAAGATTTCTGGCTCCCAGGTGTCTTTTATACAGGTAACGAGCTGAGATTAGGAGCACACCCTTAAAGGGAGTGCTCCTAATCTCAGTTTGTTACCTGTTTAAAAGACACCTGTCCACAGAAGCAATCAATCAATCAGATTCCAAACGCTCCACCATGGCCAAGACCAAAGAGCTCTCCAAGGATGTCAGGGACAAGATTGTAGACCTACACAAGGCTGGAATGGGCTACAAGACGATCGCCAAGCAGCTTTGTGAGAAGGTGACAATTGGTGTGATTATTCGCAAATGGAAGAAACACAAACGAACTGTCAATCTCCCTCGGCCTGGGGCTCCATGCAAGACCTTACCTCGTGGAGTTGCAATGATCAAGAGAACGGTGAGGAAGCAGCCCAGAACTACACGGGAGGATCTTGTCAATGATCTCAAGGCAGCTGGGACCATAGTCACCATGAAAACAATTGGTAAGACACACTACGCTGTGAAGGACTGAAATCCTGCAGGCAGCGCCCGCAAGGTCCCCCTGCTCAAGAAAGCACATATACAGGCCCGTCTGAAGTTTGCCAATGAACATGTGAATGATTCAGAGGAGAACTGGGTGAAAGTGTTGTGGTCAGATGAGACCAAAATCGAGCTCTTTGGCATCAACTCAACTCGCCGTGTTTGGAGGAGGAGGAATGCTGCCTATGACCCCAAGAACACCATCCCCACCATCAAACATGGAGGTGGAAACATAATGCTTTGGGGGTGTTTTTCTGCTAAGGGGACAGGACAACTTCACCGCATCAAAGGGACGATGGACGGGGCCATGTACTGTCAAATCTTGGGTGAGAACCTCCTTCCCTCACCCAGGGCATTGAAAATGGGTCATGAATGGGTATTCCAGCATGACAATGACCCAAAACACACGGCCAAGGCAACAAAGGAGTGGCTCAAGAAGAAGCACATTAAGGTCCTGGAGTGGCCTAGCCAGTCTCCAGACCTTAATCCCATAGAAAATATGTGGAGGGAGCTGAAGGTTCGAGTTGCCAAACGTCAGCCTCGAAACCTTAATGACTTGGAGAAGATCTGCAAAGAGGAGTGGGACAAAATCCCTCCTGAGATGTGTGCAAACCTTGTGGCCAACTACAAGAAACGTCTGACCTCTGTGATTGCCAACAGGGGTTTTGCCACCAAGTACTAATTCATGTTTTGCAGAGGGGTCAAATACTTATTTCCCTCATTAAAATACAAATCAATTTATAATATTTTTGACATGGGTTTTTTCTGGATTTTTTTGTTATTCTGTCTCTCACTGTTCAAATAAACCTACCATTAAAATTATAGACTGATCATGTCTTTGTCAGTGGGCAAACGTACAAAATCAGCAGGGGATCAAATACTTTTTTCCCCTCACTGTATTTTGCCATTAAGGGGGAGTTGTATTAGGCTACTATAGGTTCTCATCCACCATTCCACTATTAGCCTCTCACTGTGAATTCACCAGTCTCTTCTCCTCTGGTGACACATTGATAGGTGAATGATGGATGATTAATAATGAAAGTTCATAATTAACACAGTGACATCAATCATCACTCTGCCAGTGCACTTCACAAAGTCTAAGCGGTAAAAAGGGGGCTGCCGTGGCATGGCCCTGTGGTGATTCTGGTGGTCTGGTCTCCAGCGAGAGAGCCATGGTTATTTACCACTCGGATGCTCCATCCGGGGCTACCGCAGCCGGAGGAGAGCTGCCTTGTCTTTGGGACGTCCCACCCCTCTGGCTGGTCTGGGGACCAGGAGGGAGAGCTCACACTGCTATGTGGGCTCCCATGCCATGCGCCCTAAGGTAAAGGTAGGGGGGTCGGGTTGGGTGGGTGAGAGAGTGGGAGAGGGAAGGAAGGAGGGCGACAAAATGCAGCAACATAAAAACCAAGCCAGCGATGGTGAAAACATAAGAGACAGTGATGTTAGAGATGCAGTGAGTTTAAAAAAGGCTAGTGGCTGAAGAAGCTTGCTGGAAGATTCAACACACCCCATGTACAAGCAGAGTTAATGATGCTGTTCTGATTCGGGGTGTAAAACCAGCATGATATGATGATGCACATGATACTTTATATATTGAAGCCAATCCTAGAGATCTCTCATGCATAGGAGTTGAGGCATGTTTGGAGGTAGACATTCAGACAGTGTTCGCATGGGTGAAGCAGAATTGTGTTAGTCGGCACAGCAACCTTGAGTTCACACAGCACAGCAGCATTCGCCAAGGTAACGGCACAGTGCAACAGCAGCAGGAGGAGGAGCAAGAACTCAGCATCCTCTCGCCATGGCAACTGCGTGTCACTGCCTCACTCATACCACTGGCTTTTTGACAAAACAACGCCTGGTTATGTCAGGCAGCACGACTGACAGAGCATGCCTCTTCGAGATAGAAGCATACTACACTTGAAGACACTAAATATAACTGTAAACAAGATTGCACTGTTTTCACATTTCCACATTAGATCTCCTCCAGGCCTGAACTAACAAATTAGTCTGAGTCTACACCCACCGTTTATTTAAGCAATAGGATACATCTGGAGAGAAAAACACAATGTTTCAAGGCTTAACTCTCCTCAGTCTCAGAATCATCCATAATGTATCATAGCCATGGGTGTGATTAATATCCCAGTTCTAAACACATAGGATTTGTCCCAACCCGCATACAGTGTCTCTGATTAGTGGCTTGATGAAAGTGGAATGTGCTTAAGAAAACCCTAATAAAAGGTATTCTAAGGAGAATGACAAGTGAACAGGCGTGTAGCCGTCATCAGAGAGGAACTGCCTACAGCACAAGGCATGTACTAGGATTTCCATGGAGAGGGCACATTAGTCTAGGACAGGTGCAATTTCATGCTTGATGTTATACTGTAGGGCTTGTATATAGGATATATGGATCTATATAAAGTTGTCTATTATTACTGTTTATGTATATTGGCAGTGTGCTCCTATAGGGCTGTGGGGCAGTGTGTGTGCACGCGCAGAGTGGGTCAGAATGAGCAGAAAAAGTGAGATAACGTATGGTAGATTATGTAGAGGAGGGGTAAGGTGTGTGAAAGGTCTTGATAAGGGTGTTTGCATATGGCCTAAGGAATACAACTATATAAGCATTCTCATTCTGCACAGTGTGACTTTTAGAGTCCAACAGACCAAGTGAAAACTGAGGGGGAGGTGTGAGAACAGCCTTGACCTCTGCTGACGATACAGTTAAACATCAAACACAACAGACAATGGTTCTCAACTGCCACCACTGGCAAGTTCTCTGGGTTAAGTGTCCTCTGCAGCAGCAACACTTGTTTTGTTCATATTTCAAACCACTGACATCAGAGTCAAGTCACCGCTCTGGGAAAGAGCATTCAGAATGCTCCTCCACCTCTCATCATCAGATACGTATACTCACCCACACAATGACCAAACAGAGGATCACTGGCTTACACCAATTACTCTAGGGTTTTCGACCTGGGATTATAGATGCTTTTTGAAAATATAATAAATACAGACCTATATAATACATAAATAAATTATACATAATTAAATAAATGAGCAAATAAGAGATTCTAAAAGAGATTCTGTAGCTCTGGGATACCACATGAACACCCTTGAAATACTAAGAATAACACATCAAGGCGGCTTAGATTTTAGACGAAAGCCACAGCACCCACCCAGCACCACCAATGTCTTACCTGCTTCACCCTGGGTCTGCCTGGGGAGAACTTCCTCTTGGAGATGGCTGGCTTGCCCATGCCAATCTTAGGGGTAAGTGGTATGACGGTGGTGGAGGAGAAGCTACTGCCGTTTTCCCCTAGGGTAGGGTGGGAGGGGTGGTGGTGCTGGGGAGGCTGCCTGGGAGAGGGACCCCTGTTCCTAGGGGAGGAGTGGGTAGGGGAGGCAGCCATCTCTGCCAGTCTTTCCATAGATGTCTTGTAGGGCTTGTCATTGATGGGGGGGCTGAGGTAGGAGAGGTTAGGCTTGCTCTCAGTCTCAGGGGTGGTGTCCATCTCTTCCAAGGCACAGGCCACTGCCGAAACCCCACCAGCCAGTATCCCAGACATTTGTTTCTCCCTCCAAGCCTCCTTGACTGCAGTCTCCAGACCTGAAGGACCTTCAACCTGTTCCACTCCTGAAGGCTCAGAGGCTGAGGCCTCCATGGGTTCTTCCTTGATGGTTACGGATGCAGTACTGGGTTCTTTGGTGGTGGTGGTGGTGTGTGGTATCATGGCCTTGATGTCCTCTGTGCTGGGTCTGGGTTTGACCACCCTCTTTTCAGAGGAGGGTTCCATCTTTGCTGGCTTGGTCATTCCTGTTGTTATATCCTGTGGCTGCTCTGGCTCTGCTAGAGTCTGATTTGGCAGATGTATGGACTGCTCAGGCTCCTGCTTGTTCAACCTGGGAGACTCAGGACTCTCTGTTGAAGTAATCAGGGTCTCTGCTGCTGGTTGCTTTTCTAAGAAAGTGAACAGAGATCACATCACACGACACGTCAATATAATGTCATCCTGGAAACCAATCGATGATAAACTAGAACGGCTGTACCATACAGGCTAATTTAACACTAATATGTCAAGCAACAGAAGTTGCCTAAGCTAAGCTGATGTAGGGCCTATTAAAGAACGACTACCAATTATTGTGAGGAAGTGGAAATAGAAGTACAAGAAGAACTATACATTGAAAGTAAAGCTAATATTTGGCTATAGTAATAGATTAAGGTAGTGGTGAAACCAACCTGGATGTAATTGGCTCAGGTCCTTGTTGACAGACACCTCATCAGTCCCTTGCTCCACCCCCTTAACAGCAGCAGCTCCCACCGACACACCTGGGAGAGGAGGAGGAGGTGAGAAAAATCAAGTTGCCATCATCGACTGTTCATATGGCCAGACTCAGCCTCTTACATAACTATTATCTGGGTAAAGATTAGTCATAATTTTCATCTCAGGATATGGATATAATGAAACATTAATGGAATGAAAATGACAAAGAGGGTGACAGAGAGAGAAAGAGCGAGGTGAAAGCGAGAGAGAGATGAGACCGAGATGAGAGCAAAAGAGGCGAAAGAAAGGTGAGAGCGTGGTAAGAGTGAGAGAGGTGAGAGTGAGAGATAGAGAGGTGAGAGCGAGCGAGATAAATAAATTAATAAATTAAAGAGGGGGCCAATACAGGTGTAAATATTTCCCAGCAAGCTTGGCAGTGAAATTAGTCTGTTTTAACTGTGCATTATTTCAAATTACACCCTTAGTCCCAACAGCCAAAGAGGCATAGCTTTTTGGGCCAAACAGAAATACATCATACCAGCTGTATTTTTGTATTTTGAAAAATATATATGATGACGGCACGTGTTTCCTTGCAGGTAAATAATAATAATAATAATATGCCATTTAGCAGACGCTTTTATCCAAAGCGACTTACAGTCATGCGTGCATACATTTTTGTGTATGGGTGGTCCCGGGGATCGAACCCACTACCTTGGCGTTACAAGCGCCGTGCTCTACCAGCTGAGCTACAGAGGACCACAGGTAACCATGGTTAACAGAGGAAGAACAATGACTTCAAGCACCACCCTCCTTTTAAAGCTTCCAGTCTGTTATTCTAACTCAATCAGCATGACAGAGTGATCTCCAGCCTTGTCCTCGTCAACACTCTCACCTGTGTTAACGAGAGAATCACTGACATGATGTCAGCTGGTCCTTTTGTGGCAGGGCTGAAATGCAGTGGAAATGTTTTTTTGGGGGATTAAGTTCATTTTCATGGCAAATAGGGACTTTGCAATTAATTGCAATTCATCTGATCACTCTTCATAACATTCTGGAGTATATTCAAATTGCCATCATAAAAACTGAGGCAGCAGACTATGTGAAAATTAACATTTGTGTCATTCTCAAAACTTTTGACCACGACTGTAGATTCCTGAGGATTTTTATTTACTTTATCTAAAAATCTACTGGCCCAAATATAATTTCTACTGGCCCGGACATGGTGTAGTTCTTAAATGCATTGGGGTCATGCAGAGACTATAGGTTGGCATGCTCTCTCTCTATTTATCAACGTCTTCGTTTTATCCTCGCTCTACTCTTTTCACTCAAATTTATATTTCTCTGGACATGGTTCTACAGGACCTCCACCAGCCGAAAAAGCGAAGTAGTAACATTAACACTATGCCATCTAATTGCAGTCGCTGTACTCATAATATACAGGAGAACTATCGCCTTATGGTGAGGATAGCAGTGTTGCAAGCACAGCTTCAGATGCAATTGTTAGGCAATTTAAGTGTAGGAAAGGATGAAACAGCGTCTGTGCCTCCAGTAAGTACAGATAGTAGTATAAATTCCCCCACACAGTCCCCGCAGCTGGACAATTTTCTCAAGGCTTCTGGAAAGAAATGCTGTTGCCATGCTCAACCAGTGTTGCTCATTCAGCCGACAAACTTTCAACCGGTTCTCCCCATTAAGCAACGAGTCGGAGTCAGAGGCCGAGCTTCTCAGGTCTCTCCTCCACCCATTATGGGGTCTGAGCCGTCAAAGCCTCTCACCATTAGCTCTGAAAAATTGAAAACCCTAGTCATTGGCGACTCCATTACCCTCAATATTAGACTTAAAAAGAATCATCCAGCGATCACACACTGTTTACCAGGGGGCAGGGCTACCGACGTAAAGGCTAATCTGAAGATGGTGCTGGCTAAGTCTAAAACTGGCGAGTGTAGAGAGTATAGGGATATTGTTATCCACGTCGGCACCAACGATGTTAGGATGAAACAGTCAGAGGTCACCAAGCGCAAAATAGCTTCAGCGTGTAAATTAGCTAGAAAAATATGTCGGCATCGAGTAATTGTCTCTGGCCCCCTCCCAGTTAGGGGGACTGATGAGCTCTACAGCAGTCTCACAACTCAATCGCTGGTTGAATACAGTTTTCTGCCCCTCCCAAAAGATTGAATTTGTAGATAATTGGCCCTCTTTTTAGAAATTACTGCGTTTTGTTCTTTGAGCTTCTAGTCATGAAATCTATGCAGCCTACTCAATCACTTTTTATAGCTACTGTTTACAGGCCACCTGGGCCGTATACAGCGTTCCTCACCGAGTTCCCTAAATTCCTATCGGACCTTGTAGTCATGGCAGATACTTCCAAAGTTGTGGCAAAACCTTCAAGCTGCGTACTGGACCATATTCCAACTAAACTACTGAAAGAGCTACTTCCTGTGCTTGGCCCTCCTATATTGAACATTATAAATGGTTCCCTATCCACAAGATGTATACCAAACTCACTAAAAGTGGCAGTAATGAAGCTTCTCTTGAATAAGCCAAACCTTGACCTGGAAAATGTAAAAAAATTAAATAATTCGGCCTATATCGAATCTCCCATTCCTCTCAAAAATTTTAGAAAAAGCCGTTGCGCAGCAACTCACTGCCTTCTTGAAGACAAATAATGTATACGAAATGCTTCCGTCTGGTTTTAGACCCCATCATAGCACTGAGTCTCGTGGAGGTAGTAAATGACCTTTTAATGGCGTCAGACCAAGGCTCTGCATCGGTCCTCGTACTCCTAAACCTTAGTGCTGCTTTTGACACCATCGATCACCACATTCTTTTGGAGAGATTAGAAACCCTAATTGGTCTCCACAGACAAGTTCTTGCCTGGTTTAGATCTTATCTGTTGGAAAGATATCAGTCTCTGTGGATGGTTTGTCCTCTGACAAATCAATTGTACATTTCGGCGTTCCTCAAGGTTCCGTTTTAGGAACACTATTGTTTTCACTATATATTCTACCTCTTGGTGACGTCATTCGGAAACACAATGTCAACTTTCACTGCTATGCGGACGACACATTGCTGTACATTTCGATGAATCATGGTGAAGCCCCAAAATTGCCTACCCTGGAAGCCTGTGTTTCAGATATAAGGAAGTGGATGGCTGCAAATGTTTTACTTTTAAACTGGGACAAAACAGAGATGCTAGTTCTAGGTCCCAAGAAACAAAGAGATCTGCTGTTGGATCTGACAATTAATCTTGATGGTTGTAGAGTCGTCTCAAATAAAACTGTGAAGGACCTCTGCGTTACTCTGGACCCTGATCTCTCTTTTGACGAACATATCAAGAATATTTCAAGGACAGCTTTTTTCCATCTTCGTAACATTGCAAAAATCAGACACTTTTTGTCCAAAAATGATGCAGAAAAGCTCATCCATGCTTTTGTCACTTCTAGATTACACTACTGCAATGCTCTACTCTTCGGCTACCTGGATAAAGCACTAAATAAACTTCAGTTAGTGCTAAACACAGCTGCTAGAATCTTGACTAGAACCAAAAAAATGTATCATATTACTCCAGTGCTACACTGGCTTCCTGTTAAGGCTAGGGCTGATTTCAAGGTTTTACTGCTAACCTACAAAGCATTACATGGGCTTGCTCCTACCTATCTCTCCGATTTGGTCCTGCTGTACATACCTACACGTACGCTACGGTCACAAGACGCAGGCCTCCTTATTGTCCCTAGAATTTCTAAGAAAACAGCTGGCTTTCTCCTATAGAGCTCAATTTTTATGGAATGGTCTGCCTATCCATGTGAGAGACGCAGACTCGGTCTCAACCTTTAAGTCTTTACTGAAGACTAATCTCTTCAGTAGGTCCTATGATTGAGTGTAGTCTGGCCCAGGGGTGCAAAGGTGAACGGCAAGGCACTGGAGCGACGAACCGCCCTTCTACCTACCCTCTATCCACTGGGATTCTCTGCCTCTGACCCTATTACAGGGGCTGAGTCACTGCCTTACTAGTGCTCTTATATGCCGTCCCTGTGGGTTGAGTCACAGACGTGATCTTCCTGTCCGGTTTTGCATCCCCTCGGGCTTGTGCGGTGGAGGAGATCTTCGTGGGCTATACTCAGCCTTGTCTCAAGAGTAGTAAGTTGGTGGTCTGTTGATATCCCTCTAGTGGTGTGGTGGCTGTGCTTTGGCAAAGTGGGTGGGGTTATATCCTGCCTGGTTGGCCCTGTCCAGGGGTATCGTCGGACGGGGCCACAGTGTCCCCCGACCCAACTCTGTCTCAGCCTCCAGTATCTATGCTGCAATAGTCTATGTGCTGGGGGGCTAGGGTCAGTCTGTTATTTCTGGTGTCATTCTCCTGTCTTATCTGGTGTCCTGTGTGAATTTAAGTATGCTCCCTCTAATTCTCTCTCTCCCTCCCCTCCCAGAGGACCTGATCCCTAGGATCATGCCTCAGGACTACCTGGCCTGATGACTCCTGGCTGTCCCCTGTCCACCTGATCGTGCTGCTGCTCCAGTTTCAACTTTTCTGCCTGCAGCTATGGAACCCTGACCTGTTCACCGGACGTGCTACCTTGTCTTGCACCGGCTGTCTCTTCCTCTGAATGCTGAGCTATGAAAAGCCAACAGAAATTTACTGCAGAAGTACTTACAGTGGGGGAAAAAAGTATTTAGTCAGTCACCAATTGTGCAAGTTCTCCCACTTAAAAAGATGAGAGAGGCCTGTAATTTTCATCATAGGTACACGTCAACTATGACAGACAAATTGAGGGAAAAAAACTCCAGAAAATCACATTGTAGGATTTTTTATGAATTTATTTGCAAATTATGGTGGAAAATAAGTATTTGGTTACCTACAAATAAGCAATATTTCTGGCTCTCACAGACCTGTAACAACTTCTTTAAGATGCTCCTCTGTCCTCCACTCGTTACCTGTATTAATGGCACCTGTTTGAACTTGTTATCAGTATAAAAGACACCTGTCCACAACCTCAAACAGTCACACTCCAAACTCCACTATGGCCAAGACCAAAGAGCTGTCAAAGGACACCAGAAACAAAATT